GTTGCATCAACATGACAATAATCCGGTCTTTTTGAAGTGCATATTGGTGACAGACGAATCTACGTTCACGCGTAATGGGGTGAATAACTTTCGCAACACTCATGTTTGGTCAGTAGGAAATCCGCACGCTGTCGGGAACATTTTCGGTGAATCTTTGGGCTGGCATGGTGAACGGTATGCTCATTGGACCATTTATTCTCCCAAATCGATTGGACGGGATGCAATACCTAAACTTTTTACGCAACATTTTGCCTTCCTTGTTAGAAGATGTGCCATTCAGTGTAAGACAATCAATGTGGTTTCTGCACGATGGTCATATTTGTTACCTCTGTTCGTGGTTTACTGGTCTGCACCACCGCCGGCGTCTGCTCCGTAGCGCATCAGCTGATTTCATTTTCTGTTGGAGCGGTATGATTTCGGGCAGAGACGTACTTAGCCCTTCTCGTCAACTGGAGAGTGAGTACTTTTTCCTTCATTTTTTTTACTTGGTCGCCCTCGTTTCACTACACATTACCTTTGTTATTTCAAGGGTAGTTGTTTCTGAAAAGGAAAACCCCAACTTTGCGGGTATATGATATCAGCAAGAAAATTGAGAAATATCGTACCGCTCTTTTATTAAAATTTATAACAGAGCGATGAGTTTTAAGTGAAAAAGATACTCCATGTTTCATTTTTGAAATAAATGCATTTGAACATTTTATTACACAGTCAAGGTTTAAGGTGGCACGTCCCTTTTTTTAGATTTATTTTCAACTTTCCGTTTGCATCAATATTATAAATCATTTTCATCTGATAATTTCATGGTGTGTATAGAGATGACCAAAAAACAATGTTTTCATTTTTGTCAAAAAATGCATTTCTTGTGCATTCTTCAATCGGAACTTGTTAGCAAATATAAATACAGCCCTGAAATTGTGTATAAATATTCCTCTTTTATGGAACAATGAAACAAGTGATTACTTTGTTCTTACCACCTTTTCGAAAAATCTTTGATTGTCTTGAAGCCTCGTCTCGCAGCAAGTTGAGTTTTCAAGAAAAGCAAAATTTTTTCAAAAAGGAAAAGTGAAAAGAACAAAAAAAACTCGTTTCATAAAAGAGGAATATTCACGCACAATTTCAGAGCTGTACAAAAATGCATTTTCAAATTTCAACAAAACTTTTCCAACAGTAGACCTTGTTATTGGATTCCGGTTGGGATATTTGCCATTAAAAATAACGCAAACTTCTTGTTGTGTGCGTCGACGATCGCCATAACCCAGAATCATTAGAATTTGTTATCTGTTTCAGTTAAGTGAATCATTCTCGATAACCCTACTAACAAAACTCAATTGACTTTTGAATGTAAGGAATGAAAGGCAATTACTTTCGATTCCGGTATTGCTCAGGTGAAAAAAATATATTTTATTGTTTATATATTAATGTTTGACCGCGTCAAAGTATGTTTAATAAAAAGCATGCAGAATTTCTTGAAAAGCAAAAGTATCAGTTCGGATCCGTCGTTGTTTTGAACATAAACCTAACAATTTTTAAAAAAATTAGATGAGATTACAGTCTGTATAATAAATGAAATTATGGATATTTTGCCAGACACTATCACATATCCAGTATTAGGTTTATTTCTTGCCCACGTAAAGTGTTCTTTTACCAGGTAGGTATAAGGCCCTTTTTACAATATAAGTTTTGATAAAACGATGTCAATACTCGATGTCAGCAAAATACTCACATAAAAGTTTCACCTATGAAAACCTGATAATGTTAGAAATTGTAATACAAAGTAATATAAAACAGGTTTTTTCTTATATTGAACAAGTACAAAAATAATGTGTCAACTTAAATGAAGCAGAAATCGTTAAAATTCTGCTGTTGAATAATACAAATGCAACCGATTACAACTCTATACAGTTAAAAACAAAGTTTCAACAAATGTTGTATGAAATAGCAGATACATCAGATGTAAAACAATTTGCAGGTTTTCAGATACCCGGACAATGCCCATTTTGCATGGGATTTTAAACTTGTGTTTTTCAACTTTTTGTTGTCTAGAATGAGAGATCTATATGCAAAGAAGCATCGCGACCAAAAAAATATCAGCACACGAAGGATTATAAGTGGATTAGAAAAATATACAGGTGATGGAAATAAAAATAAGATACCCTTTCGCCTTGGGAATCATTAACGGTTAGAATGTTGGTCAAATGAGAAAAAAACGTATGACTTTTTGTCCTTACTGTTATTTTATAGATTTTGGAAATTCTAAAATATTACCATCAGCTTGTTTTTAAAATGATGCGCTGTGACTTTTATTTTAAAACTTTGTCATTTTTTATTCAAAAGAGATTTATGAAAATGGGGAGAAATAACGTAAATCTGTAATCTTCACTCAAAAGGCAATTCAATCTCGCAACGTTTTATTATTTACTCAACATTATAATATCTAGACAACAGAAAAATTGAAAAATTCAAAATGGCCATTCTCCTTCACATATATTTTTAATTTCACACACAAAAATAAAATATAAAAAACAAGACAGCTCAAACATATTATATATGTCTTACTAAACGGCGGCAAGTCTATTTTCATTATCATTTCGTCCAATTAAAATTATCACAAACATTTCAATATCACCAGGAAGCAGCTAAACATTTTTTTCATAAACTCAATTTTGAATTTTAAATTCGCCCTCACGATTCTCACACGTGTTCATAACAAAAATAGACTATAGAAACCTAGACTTGCGCTTGAAGCACACCAATCGCCAATACTAAAAAATCTAATTTCTTATAGTCCAGGATCTCATGTGCGACTTTACGAATTCGAACAAGCTTGTCAGTACGCCTGCAAAAGGTTAGTCCATTCTTCTACTGATACATGATTAAGGATAATTAGAATGAAAACGCAATATACAGTGTGTTTCAGAACGATGGGATCAAACTTCTAGGGGTTATTCAGTGTAACAATGGAAAACATTTGAGTATAGGGACCCATATCCGGAAAAGTGTCACTACGGCTCTAAGACGCGTTAAAATTTAGAAAGACGATGAATTGCCTAAATAGGATTTAATGCATTTGATTTTTGCCTTTTGTACATGATATGATCACAACAATGGTTCAAAATGTCTTCCTCCAACCTGAATATCCCGTTCCTGTGGTGACATGTAAAGTCTTTGGTTTACGTTTTTCCGCGTTTGGCCTGTCTCTCCACTGTCACTGGACCGATTTTCAAAAATTACAAAGCAAATGAAATATCAACTTCATTTTTTAATTAATTGCAGAAGAAGTTTGGACCAACGTTTAGAAACAAATGCAAAAATTGTAGGAAAAAGCTACAAAATGTATATCCGTCAACATATGGTAGACATTTCGTGGTTCATGGGATCCCAGACTACAAAGGCAACTGATATATAACGATAACGTTTAATTACAAACCTTATTTTTCATATATCGTTAAAGAGAAACTCCTGTTTCTGATAAAAAAGCATTACATGCAAACTCTCTAATTCATCACCGTTTCTTTTGGTTGTACCAAATTTAATAGCGATTGGTCTTTAGTACAAATTAATAGCGTTCTATAATTTTGAACCAACATCTCACACATGTAAAATATATTAAAATCTTATCTCCAATAAAAAAATAATCGAATATTCCGCAAAGCATTAAGAATCCTTAATTTTTCCAAATAGTAATTATCACAGACATTTTATAGAAATTTGATGATTTCCAATTTGAATAAAACCTACCTATTGTTCAAAAAACATGAAATGCTAAAAATAACGAATTTCATTTCATCATCACGATTTGCTTCTCGTCTCTCACGATTCAAAACAATCAAAATACCATATTCCTACGGTGACTAAGAACATGATTAAATTTCTTTTTGCTAGTAGCAATGAAAAAATACCAATCTTGTAATAAACATACCATTCCGTGATATTTGTACTACAACTCAATTGATGCAGTTTTTTTCCGTCAAAAAGTTCAGTCTCCGGCGTGTAGAACCGTTATTTAGAGTTATAAAGGGTTGTCCAATAGGGACGCAGGAAAGTAAACGTCAATTTGACATAGACGCCATCTTTGTTTTCTGTCACCGACATGTCATTTAGTTGAATGTTTACCATTGATCGCTATGGAGTCGTATTCGATTGAAGACCGCATTAAAGTTATTCAAGAGCACTACAAAAATGGTGCAAAAATAAAAAAACACGTTTCGCGCGCTTCGTGAACATTTCGGTCGCAACTACCGCCCAAACGAAACAACCATCGGTCGTCTGGTGCGTAAATTCGAGGCAACAGGTTCTGTGGCAAATCTGACAGGCTCTGGCCGGCCAAGGAGCGTTCGCACACCGGAAAATATTGCTGTTGTGGAGGAGAGTGTGAGAGACGATCCAAAACAATCAACAACGCCAAATTGATGCCAATTTTTCATCATGAGCAGCGACGAAGCGCATTTCACTTTGAATGGGACGGTAAACAAGCAAAACTGCCGTATCAAGAGCAGCCGATGCATCCTCAAAAAGTGTGGTGTGCATTGTGGTCAAAAGGCATCATCGGGCCTTACTTTTTCGAAAATGCGGCCGGGGACGCCGTTACCGTCAATTCTGAGCGATATCACGTGATGATAGAGGACTATTTTTTGCCGCAACTTGAAGGAATGGATATGGACGATGTTTATTTCCAACAAGACGATGCAACATGCCACACAACCGACGTCAATGGAAATGTGCCATGGCCACCAAGATCGTGCGATTTGATTCCCTTGGACTTCTTTTTATGGGGATATTTGAAAAGCAAAGTCTATGTCAACAAACCAGCCACCCTCCAAGAACTCAAAAACAACATCATTGCCGAGATAAATGACATAGAACCGACCATGTTGCAAAATGTCATTGAAAATTGCGACCATCGCGTGGACGTCTGTAAATCCAGTCGTGGTGAGCATTTGAGCGATATTATTTTTCATACATAAATGGTATAAATGAACCTTCAAAATAAAGTACCCAACTTGATTTGAATATCAATCTTTCTTGTTTTAATATGCGTTTTGGACAAACCCATATAACACTTGATAAGAATAGTGAAATGACAACGAGAAGGTCGCACCTCCGTTTGTGACTCTCCTCGTATGTTTTGGGGAAAACGCTCGGACATCTCAATTTTGGATTGGACGTCTTTTTATCTATAGCCGTACCACAAGTTTTAGTTCATAAATTTCTACCTAAGAGATAAATTGCGATTCAACTCTGAAGTGCGTGACCGAGCTGTCAGAAATCGCTATAATATCAGAATCACCCCACAATTCTGCTTTATTTCCGTGAGCGATTCAAAAGCAGGCTGCTCGCCATAGGCTAAGACTGTGCTGTGCCGTTATGGAATGTGATTTTTATGCTCACATAGGTGTTTATGTTCTTTTTTCATTATTTTTTTTCCATTGAAAATCTAATAAAACTGACATAAGCAGTTAAGTATAACAGTAGCCTTGGCTTATGTCTCTATTGGTTCTTTGTGTTTAAATAAAGACGTTACTATTATTAAGAATGCGGCTAAGAGAGTCACAAATAGGGGTGCGACCTTGGGCCACCCTGTTTAGAACCATGTTCTATGTTGTTTATAAAACTCAATAAATAGGAATGCAAAAGCAAATAAAATATAAACACAATAGAGAAATATAATTTGTGTAGATATACGCTTAACACAATATGGAAGAAATAATTTCGTTTTTGTTTATAGTGATTTTCTCACTGTAACTCTGCTCTTCAAATTGTTTTAATTCGGAAAATAAAACGGGGAACTAGTCACACTAGAATCCAACCAGACTGTTGTGTGTGTAAAAAACCGAGTAGTTGAAATTAAAAAAAAGGTCAGCGTCATCTGACAATCCTATTGTCCATTCACAATTTCTAATCAACATATTGATAAATCTATATTCCAGGCACAAAACACCAGTCAAATTTAATGAAAATTTGTATAGAGATAGTTCATATTATGCTGATCAAATGTTTCAATGGAAAGAGAAATTCTTTGTGTTGCAGATACAGGGTGTTAAAGTTTGCCCCTGTATGTGCTGGTACGTAGTACGAATTTTGTATATGAGAACCACCGTAGCTATCAAGCGTCCAAGGAAAGGTGTAAATGCATTTTATAGGTATGTGTATCATTCACCTACTCATACTCACAATCAATATTGAGATGATATCTACACCTCTTCAATAATAGTTTGGAAATTCTTTTCGTGTTTACGTTAATGGTGCAGTCTTATATGGTCTGCTATTTGCATCTACATACGAGATACAAATATGTGAACCCGTGTAGAAATATGGTATCGAAAATAATAATAACATTCCCTGATAAAAACTCAATTGATATTACCACTGAAATTCTGTTCGGTGAGCACGCTTTCGATGTCGCCGACTGCTACCATTTGAAATTCCGGCCCGTCGATCGCGAAATCCTTGTCGATTTCGTCGTAGACGGGCACTGTACAGCTTCCGTCTACAAAATGGAAAAACGTTTCAACCATAATATAATCATAACAATAATATTTATTCACGTCCATTATAAATTGATATGCCACAAAAGGAAAATATCCTTGTGCGTGGATATCATTCTAATATTATATATATATATATATATATATATATACAGGGTGTCCCAGAAGTCGACGTCAAGCCGAAACCGGGTGATAGGCAAAGTCATAACAGCTATCAGAAAAATATTTAAAAAAAATTTATGTATGTGTTTTGAAAATTATAGGTCTTTAAAAAAGATATAGAAATTTCACACCCTACGGCAGTCTGTTACTACAAATATTAACTTTTTTTGGATTTTATTTTTACAATGTAATGATGAATAATGCATCTTCAAACTGGTGTCTCAACCTTACTGCCAACTTTTCTCGTTCAGGAAAAATTGCCACTTATTTCCCAACCAAGTATTCCAAAGTAAAACTTTGCTCAACTTTAACTGGCTGTACTGGAAAAAATGTACTACGAGAGTTTGGCAAGTAACCTTAAAAGTTGGCGCATTTAATAACGATTCCAAAATGGTATAACACTTAGAAGATTACTCGTTAACTTATGCACAATTTTTATTTGAAAAAAAACTGATGAAAATTTTTCAAAATTTCCTAATTAAACAGCGATTATGAAAACGCACAAGGACCCTTAAGGATAACTGTTTGCACAACACTGGGCGTCAAAATGCTGCTGATGATGATTTACCTTTACAGCAATGCTCAAACTGTTTTCCTTCAGCCGCAAGACACGCTCGACATCTTCTTAAAAAAGATCGGGTTATTAAACGAGCGAATCTACGGTTACAACAAACTCAGCTGCTTCCAATAGTCTTTGCCGTAGCTCAGCTACATTTTGAATCGGCTTGAAATACACTTTTTCTTTTACAGTTCCCCAGTAAAAAAATCTAAAGGATTCAAATCAGGTGATCGGGCTGGCCACGGTATCGTACCAGACCGCCTTATCCATCTGCCTGGAAAGTTTTGATCGAGATAATCTCTCAATGAGAGTGCATAGTGCGCTGGGCAGCCATCATGCTGAAACCACATGTCACTGTAAATACTCAGTGGCACGTCCACCAATAAATTTTGTACATGAAAAGTCTCTGGGAACTCAAACGGACCGATTATTTTACCATTTAATATTCCTGTCCAATGGTTTATCTTGAAGCGATTTTGAGATTTATCTTCTCTCATCAAATGTGGTTTTGCTACGTGCCACTCGTGTAAGTTATGCAGGTCATGAACCCATCTTTCTTAAATGTGGTCTCATCCGACCATAAAATTTTTTCAAAGAACTGTGGATATTTCCTGTGTCTTTCTAACATTGTGCGACAAAAAGCAACTCGGGGCTCATAATCCCGGGCAGGAGAGGTTAAACACGCTGTATGTGGTATGGATGAAGCACATCACTTACTTGCTATTGCACACTTGATACCGATCAGTACTCCTTCGTTTACTGGGCATCTTTACATGTTCGTGCTTGTTGATTACTAATTTTGGATTCGTGAACTGGACTGTTGATAGCTTGTGATTTGGATTTCGACTGTTTAATTGCTCTTCAAAACAACATTTGCTTTCCTTAGACTATCTTTAATAGTGTGATTGTGCAGTGCCGCTATGTCCGTGCACACCGTACAAGAATATGGTAACATGCACCTCATTTATGGGGAATGCAGATGCAACGCTAGTGCTGCAGCGAGACTTTACTGTGAGAGGTACCCGAATGCAGCTCGTCATCCAGATCATCGAGTGTTTACAAATGTGCACCGCTTACTGTTCTCAGAGGGCCAACTACCAAACCAATCACACGGTGAGGGAAGATCTTTCCTTCCTTACGAAGACGTGGTGCTAGGAGCTGTCGAAGAAGACCCGAGTACTTCAGTGCGTGCAATAGAACTAAAAACAGGTGTGCCCAAAAGTACAGCCCATAGAATCTTGCAAAAAAACGTGCTCCATCCATACCACGTACAGCGTGTTCAAGCTCTTCTGCCCCGGGATTATGAGCCCCGAGTTGCTTTTTGTCGCACAATGTTAGAAAGACACAGGGAAGATCCACGGTTCTTGAAAAAATTTTATGGTCAGATGAGACCACATTTAAGAAAGATGGGTACATGAACCTGCATAACTTACACGAGTGGCACGTAGCAAACCCACATTTGATGAGAGAAGATAAATCTCAATATCGCTTCAAGATAAACCATTGGACAGGAATTTTAAATGGTAAAATAATCGGTCCGTTTGAGTTCCCAGAGACTTTGACTGCTGAGGTTTATTTAGTTTTTTGCAAAATCATTTAGAAAATTTATTGGTGGACGTGCCACTGAGTACTTACAGGGACATGTGGTTTCAGCATGATGGCTGCCCGGCGCACTATGCACTCTCAGTGAGAGAGTATCTCGATCAAAACTTTCCAGACAGATGGATAAGGCGGTCTGGTACAATACCGTGGCCAGCCCGATCACCTGATTTGAATCCTTTAGATTTTTTTACTGGGGAACTGTAAAAGAAAAAGTGTATTTCAAGCCGATTCAAAATGTAGCTGAGCTACGGCAAATACTATTGGAAGCAGCTGAGTTTGTTAATAACCGTGGATTCGCTCGTTTCATAACCCGATCTTTTTTAAGAAGATGTCGAGCGTGTATTGCGGCCGAAGGAAAACAGTTTGAGCATTTGCTGTAAAGGTAAATCATCATCAGCAGCATTTTGACGCCCACTGTTGTGCAAACAGTTATCCTTAAGGGTCCTTGTGCATTTTCATAATCGCTGTTTAATTAGGAAATTTTGAAAAATTTTCATCAGTTTTTCTTCAAATAAAAATTGTGCATAAGTTAAAGAGTAATCTTCTAAGTGTTATACCATTTTGGAATCCTTATTAAATGCGCCAACTTTTAAGGTTACTTGCCAAACTCTCGTAGTACATTTTTTTCCAGTACAGCCAGTTAAAGTTGAGTAAAGTTTTAGTTTGTAATATTTGGTTGGGAAATAAGTGGCAATTTTTCCTGAACGAGAAAAGTTGGCAGTAAGGTTGAGACACCAGTTTGAAGATGCATTATTCATCATTACAATGTAAAATAAAATCCAAAAAAGTTAATATTCGTAGTAACAGGAGTTGACAGACTACCGTAGGGTGTGAAATTTCTATATCTTTTTCAAAGACCTATAATTTTCAAAACACATACATAAAATTTTTTTAAATATTTTTCTGATAGCTGTTATGACTTTGCCTATCACCCGGTTTCGGCTTGACGTCGACTTCTGGGACACCCTGTATATATATATATATATATATATATATATATATATATATACTCGTGTAAATGAATATCTTAACGGAAAGACGTAAAACATACCATCGTTCAGTCCGTCGGACACGCTGTCGGACCGTATCGGCTGTCCGTTGAGCAGGCAGTCGGTATTGACGTTGTACGTGAACGTTTCGTCAGAGTTCAGCGGCGTGGACGGGTACGAACGGGAACTGGCATAGCCGATTTTCTGGCTACCGCCGGCGGACGGTTTGCCGCCTGTCGAGTTGCAGATGAACGGCAGCGGGGTGCTCGGCACCGACCTCGACGGCACTGACTTCACCTGCACGATACAGATACGATAAAATTCATCTGTAAATTTAAATTGTGATTAAAATGTACGATCGCGAGCTTGTACAGGAGCAGAAATGGAAGGATTTGAAACACGAGCGACATCTGTTTCTGCCCAAATAGATATGCATCGCAAGCACCGAAGTAAAAACATCGTATCTGGTTACGGGAGTAACCTGAAGGAAAAACAAGCATGGAAAGTGAAATGCAACTAGAAGCCAAATAATGATAATTATTCAGGCTATTCGAATATAATAAGACAAAACATATGTTATGCTCATCACTTCTAGATACGGCAGGGGTATTACGTAGCTTGAAAAGTGACATTCGGTTCTTTTTACATTATGTAGTTTTTTATATATAGAAAGTATAAGTGAGATAGTGGAGTCAATCGAAGATGGGGATCCAAACTTTTTTTTATTGATTTATTTATTTACTACAAAAGAATAGACACCTAAGCTATAAGCTTGTGTGTGTCACTCAATATACAATTCAATGCATGGCTAATGGTCATAAAGTATATTATGAGCAAATGTATATAAAAAAAGAAATAAAACATTAGATAGAAACGAAATGACTGAGTTAAGCTACAGTCGATGCAAGCATGTCAAAGTTATTTAATTCTTTTTTTTAAACTATACTTCGAGAGGATTTTATATTCTAGGGGTAATTTATTATACAACCTAATACCATCAAACTTTATGCATTTTTGGCAAACAGATTAATTCACTCTGGTATAAGTGTAACTTATATTTTAGTTCTTGTTTCATAACCGTGGCTGGTTGGAACATTGTTTCTGGAGTGAACAAATTTCAGAGCAGCAAAAATATATAAACCTCTAACATTCAAAAGATCATTTTCAATGTAAACTAATCTGCAACTTGGCCTACATGGGATACGAAAAATAGTCCTGACAATATAATTTTGCGTGGTTTGTAGTATTTTTAAAGTACTAGTGAATGCGGCTCCCCATATACTTATCACGTAAGTTAGTAGAGACCCCACAAACTAGTTATATATTGAGAGAAGACTCTTTCTGCTTAAAATATTCCTAAGAATGAAAAACTTATGAATAATTCTCATTAATTTCGATGCCAAAAGCTCGGCATGTCTCTGCCATTTTAAATTACTGTCAACAGTGATTCCTAAGTATCTAATAACGTCAACTCTTTCGACAGTGTCAGCACTATCATTTATAATTAATGTTCGGTGGGTAATGGCATGCCTGATTTGGTTGGAGAAAACGTCAGATACTTAGTTTTAGAGATATCAAGTTTAAGTAAATTGTTATCCAACCAGTATTTGACTTTATTTAATGACAACTCGGCATTCCGAATTGCGTCATCCCATGAATGACCAGTGCAAACTAAAACAGTATCGTCTGCATATGATATCATTTTACAGTTGAAATTGCATCGAAGTAGTTCATTTATGTATATGAGGAACAGTGTTGGTCCCAAAACCGTCCCCTGAGGCACACCTATTTGATCTTTTGAATGCAGCTTATATGTTACAGGAAAGCTATTTATAATTCTTCTATGAGTCAATTCCAAACAATAAACATCAGCCATCTTTCAAAGCTATTTCAAGATTAAAATCAAAGAAATCTTATATATTATATTATCAATAAAAATTGAAGAGAGTACCAGAATAACATCATTATCAGAGACTTTGTTAGATCTTGTTATTGTAAATTTCGAATCTGCAGGGATTAAAGCTGTGCATACACCTAAAGTTAGCGATCACAGTTGGACAATGCTGCCCTTGGTAGGGCATTTTTCTGATACAAAAATTAAGAAAATCGTAAATACTATTAAGTACGAAAACTTGAACGAGAACTTGCTGGCTGCTATTGGAATTTTGGTGAGAATGTGGAAAAAATATATGAAACATAATAGGAAATATAAAAACTTGTTTAGATCTTGCAACTGATAAAAAAGTGATTTGCTCGACAAAAAATACACCCTGGTATAACAAGAATATTAAGGCAGCTCAAAATTTGAGAGACAAACAATACAATAAATGTATATTCACAAATCAAATGATGATTGGGAGGTATATAAAACTCTTAGGAATAAATGTGTATATGTAATTAGAGAAGAAAAAGGAAATTCTACGATAAACAAATCGATAATAACAAGTACGACAGTGTAAAGATGTGGAAGACTTTAAAAAGACTGATCAATTCGAAGCCGCATTATTGTATAAGTCAAGTTCAATTCGAAAACGGTACCGAAACAAATTCTTTGGTGATTGCAAACAAACTAAATGAATATTTTGTGGAAAGTATTGTTGATATTGTGGGTACTGCCAATGCTGCACCTGACTATATGAAAATCAGTTTCCAGGGGGAAATGTTGCATACACTTTCAAAATTTCACAGCGTATCATTGAATTATCTAAGAAAAAAAGTAAACAGTTTAAAATCAAATAACAACTGTGCCGAAATCACTACTAAAAACGTGCTGAAAAACTGTTTCGAAATTTTGGGATATCCTGTATTAAATTGGATCAATTGTTCACTGAGAAGCAGTTCTTTTCTTGAAAATTTGAAATGCTCTACAATAGCACCAGTTCCCAAAATAAAAAATTCTAAAAGATGCAGCGATATGAGACCAGTAAATGTGTTACCAGACATTGAAAAATTATTAGAGTCCATAGTGCATGACCAATTAATGCAGTTTATAGAAGAAAACAAAATTTTAGTGGAAGCGCAAGCAGGCTTTCGAAAAAAATATTCCACAGAAACAGCTTTCCAGTTGGTAACTGAGAATTGGAGAAGGGCCATAGACTCAGAAGAAGTTGTCACAGCAGTATTTTGGATTTGAAGAGGGCATTTGGAACGATTGATAGAGATATTTTGTTAGGTAAATTGAAGGCATATGGTATAACAGGAAGTGTTTTAGATTGGTTTAGAAATTATTTGTCTAAAGGATGCAAGTTACAAAAGTTAATGACACTATTTCATCAAAAATTGAAAATACGTTGGGTGTTCCACAGGGCAGTATCCTGGGACCACTTCTTTTTATTTTATACATAAATGATTTACCTGCCATAGTCAAAAAATGCAAAATTCAGATTTTCGCCGAGGACACTATGATTTATATAAGTACTAAAAATATTCAGTCTGGTATCTCTTATATAAATGAAGACCTGAAGCTTGTCTCAAAATGGTTAGCATCTAACAGACTAAAATTAAATGCAAGTAAAACGAAAGCCTTGTGAATCGGAAAAAAACAATGTACAAATGTTCAACTGAATATTGATGGTGAAGATATTGAATTCGTAGAAAATTTTAAATACCTGGGGGTTTTTGTTGACTCTCGATTAATTTTTGATATTCATTATGAAAAAGTTATAAATAAGATTAGTAGTAAAGTGGGATATTTATCGCGAGTTTCTGGATGTCTGAGTTCATATAGCAGAAAAATTATCTATAATACCATAATTCTTCCAAATTTCTTGTACTGTTCGACTATTCTATATTTAGCAAATAATTCCATTTTTGAAAGACTGCAAATTTTACAAAATGAGTGCATGAGAATAATACTAAATAAAGATAAATATACTCCAATTAGGCAATTGCTTAGCAAATTAAAATGGCTCAATGTAAAAATTTTTATTAAACATCTTGTAATGATATTCATTTATAAAGTAAAAAATAATATATTTCCATCAAGTCTAACTAATTTAACATCATCAAATGTCGACCATCATTTACATAATACCAGAAATAAAGATGACTTCCATTTAATGACCAAAAGTATAACAGATGCTACAAATCTGTATTCCATCAAGGATTGATTGAATATAATAAATTATACTCGGAGATAAAAGACCAGAAAACTTTGACAAAATTTAAAGTAAAATTGAGAAATCACTTGTTAAATCTACAATTTTAGGTTGCCCACCATTTACATCATACACCATATGGCTTGAATTTACTAGTTCTAAGTTGTTTACAATTATTCTGTTTATGTAGCCAATGTGCTAAATAAATCTTTCTACTACTACTACATCTTTCAAAAATGTTAATCGGAGAGAATTTATCATCGTTAGTTAATCACTGTTTAGTGTTTGACGAATTTCCTTCGAAATTAAAGTGTTTTTTACTATGAATTGAATTATTCTGTAAAAACTGTTTGAGGGACCTGGGGTGATAGAAAAACACCTCCCCTGACCGCCCTTGCCATTTAACAAACGATGCGCCAAACACCCTGTATATGTAGAAACTGATAACCTTACCTCGAAAGCCGTAACGACATCGATGCTTTGAGACCGCACCGTTCTACCAGCCGATGCTGGAAATCTGACGTCGCTTCTAGCGTAATCGCCCAGGTCGATGTTGCTGTTGATAAGCTGGATGCCGAACTCGTTCAAACAGGAATTGTTAGCGGTAATATCGATGTTGAACAGATCGACGTTATCACATTGAGGCTCGACTAACGTGGTCGCGTGGAAAATTCGTTTGGAGTTATCACCGTTGGATTGAGGTAACGGACTGACGTCCGGTGGAAAATCGGTGTTTGTGGTCGCTGTCGATGCTGGCGCGTCGGAAAGGAACAGCGTGTTCATCGGATCAGGAACCATTTGCTGGAGCGGTACCGATTGCGACCTGCAAGCAACATGTTTTTCTACAGTAATCATATTTATTCGCCAGAATACAAAAAATGGGCGAATAAATATGACTATTCTGAGAGACAAAAAAAAAGGTAAACACCTACGTATGTTTATCCGATTTCAATAATTTTTGGCATATATCCCTTACTGTAGCATCAATCAATATAATGGGTTGTCCAATAGGGACGCAGGATAGTGAACGTCAATTTGACATAGACGCCATCTTTGTTTTCTGTCACCGACATGTCATTTTGTTAGTTGAATGTTTACCATTGATCGCTATGGAGTCGTATTCGATTGAAGACCGCATTAAAGTTATTCAAGAGCACTACAAAAATGGTGCAAAAATAAAAAACACGTTTCGCGCGTTTCGTGAACATTTCGGTCGCAACAACCGCCCAAACGAAACAACCATCGGTCGTCTGGTGCGTAAATTCGAGGCAACAGGTTCTGTGGCAAATCTACCAGCTCTGGCCGGCCAAGGAGCGTTCACACACCGAAAAATATTGTTGTTGTGAAGGAGAGACGATCCGAAACAATCAACAACGCGTCGATTTCGAGAACCAGTTTGCTCCGCATTCTCCATGTATTACTCGATTCTCAGCAGCATTTTAACAACATTCAAAAGTGGTTTAATGCCAACAGTTTGTCAATCAACATAGCGAAAAATCAATCTCTTCTACTCGGTACTTGTCCACATAGAAGTAATTTAGTAGAACCCGTGAAATTTCTTGGGAGTGATTATTATATATATATATATATATAAACTTGAGACGTGGTCATTGTCGTCTAGACCAGTTAGGTGAAAAATTAAAGCTTCCGCATTTTGTTGGGTACTTCGACAAAATTTAAGCAAAGAGGACTCTTTATACTTTTTTTAATTCTCTCTAGCTTTCAATGGACTTTGCCATCATCATCAGGAGAGTAGTATGTGAGGATGTTGCTAATTGTTGTTTTCGTATAGGATGAGGGAAACGTCCTGTAACGTGGTGAGAGCTGGATACATGGTACAATGGTTAAAATTATATAAAATATGACAAGACAAGTTAAAGACAGATTAAATTTTGTCGAAGTACCCAACAAAATGCGGAAGCTTTAATTTTTCATATACAGTGAAAGCTCTCCTTGCGGACAGCTCCTATAAGCGGACATCTCTTTTAACCGGACAAAGTTCCTGGAACCGAATTTCAGCCATCAATTTTCAATGTTAAATGCATTCCGATAAACGGACGCTCTTATAAACGGACGCGGACACTAGATTTTCCTGTATGTGATCAAAAAATCTCCCATAAGCGGACGCGAAACTCTAATACCCGGACGATTTTTTAGTTCCGCTTATTGCAATGCACATATCTACATACATAAAATTCGGTAATTCCCCGATTTATATTAGGTGATTCCCCATTTACGCATTTCGTTGGGTAGCCTGTATGTAATCTTGTGGCTTGTCTTCAGTTCAGGCAAATTCGTAGTTGATTGAGTTACGTATTTTATTATTGTAACTGTAAAATGGCACCAAAAAAAAAGGATGCTCTCGTTAAAGGAAAAGATGGAAGTTGTTAACATATTAGACAGAGAAAAGTGTTTCAGTTCGTCATTTGGCAAAGAGGTTTAATATTGGGAAAACGCAAGCAGCTGAAATTGCCAAAAATAAGGAAAATATCAGGAGTAAATGGCAATCAGGAACTAATATAAATCAAAAGAAGGATTTTTTAAAAAAGGAAGGTTTTGCTATAGACAAAACATGTTTTGAGTGGTTTGTGAAAGCTAGAAGTCAGAACATTCCAATCTCAGGGCCGTTAGTGAAAATGAAAGCTAAAGAAATCGCCACTACTTTGGGCTATAATAATTTCAGTGCGTCCGACGGGTGGCTGCAAAAGTGGCGCAAGAGACATAGTGTGAGTTTCAAATGCATATCTGGCGAAGCTGCTGCAGTAGATCAAGTTGATGTGTCACAATTTTTGGAGAAACTTCCGTCCATGTTGCTTGGCTACAAACCAGAAGATGTGTACAACGCAGATGAGAGTGGACTTTTTTTTCGCGCATTGCCCGACAAAACTCTGTCCTTTAAAGGAGAAACATGTGTGGGTGGAAAGTTGTCTAAAGATAGACTAACCATTTTATTCTGTGCAAATATGGCCGGTGAAAAATGCGATTTGATTGTGATCGGGAAAGCGGCTCGTCCCCGTGCTTTAAAAAACGTTGCTATTAAGGATCTACCAGCGACTTGGAAATCCAACAAAAAGGCATGGATGACCCGAGAAATCATGTCTGAGTGGTTAGTCGAATTCGACCGGAAAATGAGAATCCAAAAAGGCAAGTTCTTTTATTTTTAGACAATGCATGCTCTCATCCTCGTGATATGAAAATGAAAAATGTGAAAATTATATTTTTACCGCCAAACACAACTTCTGTTTGTCAGCCCATGGATCAAGGTGTCATACAGAACTTTAAATTTTATTATCGGCACTTGATTTTAAAACATATTTTAACAAAAATTGACGATGGTCAAAGCTTATCTGAGCTTACAAAGTCTATCAATGTGTTAGAAGCTTTGTATTTTATAAAAACAGCATGGAATAAAGTAAATTCCTCTACAATTAAAAACTGTTTTGGCAAAGCTGGATTCAGAAAAAGTGAATGTAGCTCAGAATTTGCTGAGCAAAATTATTGCGATGCTGAAGACGATCTGCCCTTAGCGACACTTGCTCAGTTACTGCGACATGTCAAACATTTAGGAGTAGCAGATCCCCAGAAAGTAGATGATTTCCTGGCCATAGACAATAACATAACAACAGAAGAAAATGCCATTGGCAACTTTTCGAATTTGGATGTAGAAAGCCCAGGCCAACTTGAATATGGTAGTCCAAACGACTCAGAAGAAGAAGTGGAACTGGTGGACTCACTAAGCGGTTCAAAAACGATAAATTCATATCGGGAAGCTCTAAATCATATTTCTATATTGAAAAAATTTGCTAAAGATGATTTCACTGCATTTCAACATTTGAAAAATTTAGAAAGTTATTACGAAAATTGTCTCCTTCAGCAAAAGATGGTGAAATTTCGTCAGACAAACATTTTAAACTTTTTTCAACAAGCTAAAGAATAATGTTTTTTTTAAATTCTCGTACCATGTATTGAAGCATTTATGTTTTTGTATGCGTATATATACATATATTATATAGATATATAGCATAAATACATACTTTAAAAATGTGGCGAGTTTCTGTTTCATTTTTCTCATGATTATAATACCTCATTTCCTCATGATTATAATACCTCATTTCCTCATGATTATATACCCCGTTATTTATACTCTATACTTACATACTCTCTTTTAAACGGACACCTCCCATAAGCGGACAAAAGTTACGGAACCGTGAGTGTCCGCTTATGGGAGCTTTCACTATATATATATTATAAAATAACATATATGATACGTAGTTTAAATACCTACGGAACAAAATCGACTTCAATGACAACCTATTATACTTACTTCCAATGTAACTTGCTATACTACATACTGACTTGGGGTCATTCATGTCATGTATCGAAAAAAATATTCGAAATGATTGTTTCAATATAATTGGAGAGAAATTATTATTATTGGTGAATCATTGTTTAGTTCATGGTGAATTCCTGTCAAAATTAAAGTGTTCCACCATTACTCCTGTGCCAAACGTTCAAAATTCTCAGCTGTATACAAATATGCGACCGATTGATGTCTTGCCCGATGTCGAGTAGATGTTCGAAGGGATGATATATGAACAAAACATAGAATTCATGAAGAAACCAAAATTCTGATAAAAAATCAAGCTAGATTTAGAAAAAAATGGTCCACAGAAACGGCAATCCAAACGGTGGTGGAAGACTGGAGAAGAAGTATATATGAGAATATATTGTAACAATATTTTTAGACTTCAAAAGGGCAATTGAGACTATAGATAGGGAAAAATTGCGAATTAAATTGCATCACTATGGCTTTAAAGGATCAGTATTACACATTTTACAAAATTATTTAGTAAATAGAAGTCAAAAAACTAAAGTTGGAAATATTATGTCAAGTGTTCAAAATATATCAGTAGTGGTGCCCACAGGGGAGTAAATTAGGGCCGTTACTATTTATTATTTATATAAATGATATCTCTGACATTTTAGAACACTGCAAAATTCAAATATTTGCGGACGATGCACTCATATATATAGCACATAAGCATTTGGGCACTGCTTTAGAACTGTTAAATAGTGATATTGAAAAAATTATGAATTGGTTAAATGTCAACAAACTTAAATTAAACACTAATAAAACAAAATGTATGTCAATAGGGAAACATTTAGGTTACAATACAATTAGCCTCATGATTAATGATGAAAAAATTGAAGTAGTCGAGTCATTTAAATATCTTGGTATATATGTGGATACTAAGCTACTGTTTCACGAACATTATGAATACATTATTTCAAAAATATCGAAAAAGATAAATTACTTTTATATAGTTTCCCATAATCTTGGTATGTATTCCAAAAAAATTGTGTATAACACTATAATTCTCCCCCATTTTTTTATACTGTTCAACCATCTTGCTTACAGCAAATGAAAACATATTTTCAAAATTACATATTCTACAAAATAAAGCTATCAGAATCATTTTAAATAAAAAAAATATGCTAGGATTAAGTCTATGTTAGAACTGCAGCGATTTGATGTGAAAAATTTCATATATTATTTAGTTCTCGTTTTCATATTCAAATTAAAAAATCATTTATTACCACCACATAGAGAACTTCACAAAATTAAATAGTCATTATCATAACTACGAAACTAGAGGCAGTATATATTTCAAAAGGGAGCATTTGAATTTAATAAATTTAATATTGATATTAAACAAAGTTCAAATTTAAAAATTATAAGTATAATTAAAAAATCACTTTATGAATAATCAAAATACATAGTGACGTAATTTTAATTTTAATAGACAAGAATGTAAAATTACAGAAAATGGTTTGAAGAAAAATATGTAACCGAATCATTATACAAAATTGACATTGTAGCATTAATGCTGAATAAATCTTCAACAATAACTTACATGTTCATGCATGTCTGAAGGAAAATAAATTTATTATTATTATTAGAAACAGTTTAAGACAAACAAATACGAGCTTTTGGAAACTACAAGTTTAAAGCAACTAAACCTAATCCTGAAAGATTGGACATGGAACATGAAGAAAGAAAACGTTGAAAATTATAAATTCTATATCGTGTGCTATTTTTGGCTACACTGGGGGTTGCATGGAAGAGCAACGGTGTTGAATACCGCCTCCCTCATCAAACGAGTTTTTTTCTTTGTTGTTCTTTCAACCCAAAAATAAAGACACATTACTTGCACGAATTTATACATACCTGCTGGTGTTCACGCTGCCATCAAACAGTTGAGCAGCTTGTGACACATTCTGGCAATTCGCATAACTCGGATTGTACGCCAGTTTGCTATTCGACTTCAACAACTTCTGCAACATCGGACTGACAGGCGCAGACATCGGCAAACAACTGCTTGTACTAAATTCACTGGGAAGGTCCAGGCTCAGTTCTCGTTTCACCTTCGACGGTTTTCTAGCCTCGGTTTTCAAAATACCCATGTTTTGATGAGGAGGAGGCTTTGCCTTCAGGATAGGAGTATCTCTCGGACTGATGAACGGACTCGCTGTTGTACTTGAACATTTCGACTGGATCCCTGCAAAGAGATTCATCAACATTTCCTTAGACCATAGTCTAATCATATTAGCAAATTACCACAAAATAATTGTAAAGTCTCGTTTTATTGGTGCAAGTTGTTCAAGGGGTATTTAAAACAGGGACGCATAAAATGGGTACACCAATGTTTGTGGGAAAACTTTTTATACGACAACAAAGAATGAGAAAACGTCTTTTTTTGGGATTCAACCGAAAGCGTTAACAGGAACGAAAAAACTTTTCAAATAAGATTTTTGGATATTTCTGAGACCTACAAAATGAGACCACACGTAAAAAGATCCGCAAAAATGTTATAGCCTAAAATGCAGATTTTGGCATTTACGATAATTTCACGGAACTACTTGAAATTCCTCAAATCCGTAGGATTCATACTTCTAAATAACAACAACAAAATTGGAGCATATTGGACAAGTAGTTTTTGAGAATTTCTAATTATTTATCTCAAAACACCTATTTTCCAGCCATCACTACTAGTTTATTGAGCAATATACAGGGTCAGTTCAAAGAGCATTTAATAGCAAAATACACGTTTTTACCTTGCCTATATGAATCACAAACCATTCCGAAAGATAAATGTTATTTTAATGCGAAAAACAAAGGTTTCCTCATCAGAGCTCGTATTGTGAAAAATGAATTATTTTCCTACCATTCGGTGATTGTGGCCCAGGCGATATTGGAGTGAAACTGAAGTTTTTCCTTTTGGTGTTTGGACTTGCTAGAACAGCTTCTTCTGCTGCTGGCGTTTCAAAGCTGACTCTTCTCTTTGCAGAACTATTTAATACATTGGCGAACGATACATGATGTTCTGCTAACGGGGTTGTGTATGCCAGTTCAGTCTTTATTTGGGGCTGATCCTCTCCGGTGGATGCAAAATGGTTCAGTAGAACCTAGAGTAACATTGAAAAAAAAAACATGAAAAACCCTGAGTCTACTTTTCTTTTCGGGCAAATGCAGTTAGAGTGCAAAGAAGTGTAGACACTGTGGTTAGGTGTTGTCAGGCATGGCTTCGAGAAGGCCGTACGCAAAGAAGAAGGGGCACTGGACGCCGCCGTAGAACAACAGACCGTGAAGGTCGCCGCCTAAGATTATTGGCCTTAAGGGACCGTTTCTCCACTACCAGGTCCATTGCAAATGAATGGTTTGCAGAACACGGAAGACCTATTGGCATGCGAAGTGTTTACCGACGAATGAGAAGTTTTGGCTTGTTTTCATACCGGCCACACTGGGTCCTCCCTTTAACTCGAGAACACCGACGTAATCGCCTTGAGTGGTGCAGACAACGGTCACTCTGGGATCAGGAATGGAACAGTATTGTCTTTAGTGACGAGTCTCGATTTTGTTTAGGCATGCACGATGGTCGTGCCAGGGTTAGAAGGCGACGTGGTGAAAGGAGGAATCCACAGTTTTTTGTTGAAAGACATGTTCATCACACTGTTGGAGTTATGGTTTGGGGTGCTATAGCTTACGGTTCCAGGTCACCTTTAATCTTCATCAGAGGTAACATGAACGCCCAGCGTTATATCCACGAAGTTCTAGAACCCCATCTTTTACCCTATCTTGACACCCTGGCAGATCTAACTTTCCAACAAGATAATGCCCGACCACATGTTGCAAGAGTCACAATAGACTTCTTTCAACATAATGATGTCACATTGTTACCATGGCCACCAAGATCTCCCGACTTATCCCCAATTGAGCACGTGTGGGATATGATGGGTAGGAGATTGCTCAATTTGCAACGTCCTCCTCAGACTCTAGAAGCACTTCGAGAGGAGTTGGTGGTTGCCTGGAATGAGATACCACAGGAGGACATTGACCACCTGATCAGAAGCATGCCTAGGCGCGTTGGAGAATGCGTAGCACATCAGGGTGCATCCACACATTATTAAAGGTCAAAGGGCTTTAAAGCAGTGCAATCATTTTGAAATTTTTATCATATACTTATTATGCTTCATTAAGTACTTATACAAAATTTTATTAAAATAAAACCATTTAAACTGGGTGTTCGGATTTATATGTCACTTAGTATATTTAGGATATTGATTTTGGCGGTTATAATGTAGGCTGGAGTGAAGTGACAAATTCCAAGACGCCTGAAATAAAAAAAAAATTAACAAGCCGTTTTACTTGAGAGCATATTGAAGGGCCCTTCGCTGAGAGATACAAAAAATGTTGGTGGCTAACATTTTTATTAAATGCCGAAGATAGAAAACCAGTTATTCGAGTATATTTCGATAGATATGAACCACTAATGAAAATGATCTAAAAAAAAGTTCTTGGAGATGAAAATTCCTTAAAAATAAGACCTTACACGACCAATTTGACGAAACGGTTAATTTGTTATTACAAAAAAAGTCAGAAACCGTTGATTTCTACATTTATTTTGTTACTGAAAAATGCAAAACGGTAAATCTGAAGTACCAGGCAAAAGTTGAAGCCTTTGTGGAGCTCAACATCCAGAAAAAAAAACATTCACAAATGCTCAACAATTTTCTAAATGTTACTAATTTTTTTCACAAAAATTACCTCTTTTGACTAGCTGTGCAGAGACTTTGAATCCATCGAATAACCGAATATTGAGCTTAATATCTTGACAGAGGCTTATCTTAATATCGTATTAAAAGAGATACCAGATGTTCTTATACCAATCATGAAAAATACAAAACTCACTCCACCAAATCTTTAAAACTAGGCATTGATCATAAACTAAATTTTACAGGAAATCGCTAATTATTTTTTATTTAAATATCAAATTAAAAAATGATTAGCATCAAATGCATTTTGTAACGTATGTGAGTACGGAGAAATGAAATTGAACATTTATATGAATTGTTATATTGATTTTTATTTATATTGTTATACATTTTATTGATATTGGATAGCTTATTTATTTTTCTCGCCACATGACTATTCTGTATCTAAGTGGTTAATAAAGATACAGCAGACGCTCGATAACGTAAACACGGGATAATGAAAACTTGCGCTAATGTAAACACAAACTTCGTTCTATAGGATCAAACGGAACGCGCGATAACGTAAACAATGTGTACGCTCGATAACGTAAACAACTCTCGGCGCACGGAAACAGCGCGACGGTAAAATGCTGAAGCCTCGATGATTTATGTCGGGCGTCGGGGAGTCCCCGATTTATGATGTAGAGTGTAGGGGATTCCCCTCTGCGATAAAATACGACAAACTCGGTCGGTCGTATGACCGTTTAGGATACGTTTATACGTACGTATGTATTTCATTTTTCAACTTAAGTGAATACATTGCACGCGTTAATATATTTTACGACTATGGCATCCACATCCTATAAAAGAAAGTGTTTAAAGTTGAGTGAGAAAGTGAAAATCATAGATGAAGTTGTACTAGGTGCTGGAGTGACACAGTTAGCAAAAAAATATGGAGTATCGAAAGCAACAATCTGTAAAATTAAGCGTATGAAAACTCAAATTTTACAAAGAACGTGCAATACATTTGGAGGTCCGGGAAAAAGAAAAACTTTAAAAAATGCAAAGGCACCTAAAATGGAAAATTCCCTGTATAAGTGGTTTTTAAAACAACGGGAAAATCATGTCCCAGTTAGTGGCGAAGTACTTAAACAGAGAGCGAGACTGTTAAATGAAAAACTGAAAGAAACTGAAAATTTCGTAGCTAGTGATGGCTGGCTACAACGATTCAAAACAAGATATGGAATTCGACTGCTGTCTATATCTGGTGAAAAATTATCAGCACAACCACAATTAGTGCAACCATTCAAAGAAAAATTGATGAAAACAATTACCGAGCTAGATTTAAGAATGGAACAAATTTACAACGCAGATAAAAGTGGCCTTTATTGGAAAATGTTACCAGAGAAAACCTATGCTAATGGTTCACACAACATAAAGCCACTGGTAATTGGGAAAGCAAAAAATCCGCGCTCATTTAAAAATGTTAATATCCCTGTTGATTATGACTGTTCAAAAACCGCTTGGATGACTAGCAGTATATTCCTGAAATGGTTCCACAGGTGCTTTGTCCCTCAGGTATGACGATCAATTATCACAAATGCTCTATTCATAATTTGAAGATGTGTTTTCAATTTGTAGGTAAAAGGTTTCCTAGAACAACAGAAGCTTCCAATAAAAGCGTTGTTACTGTTGGATAATGCACCAAGTCATCCTCCCGGGCAACAACTGAGGAGCAGGAATGGGTCAATTTTCGTCATGTACATGCCGCCCAACGTAACACCGTTAATTCAACCGATGGACCAGAATATAATAAGACTCGACAAACTATACTATAGGGAGTTTCTACTTTCGTCTGTCTTATCAAAGAATCCTGAAAACTTATCTGAGGCTTTAAAAAACGTAACATTACGAGAAGCTGTTTTAGATTTACATATGGCATGGAATGAACTTAACCAGCAAACTATTCAAAAATGTTGGAACAATCTCTTTTGTACCAATAATGAAGATGATGAAGAAGACGATGTCCCCTTAAGCGTAATTAGAGAACGTTTGCGATAAAATAATGATAATGTTATTAGTGTGTCATTGGATTTTGTTGATTTATTGAAAACAGTGAATCCCAACATTGTTTGTACTCCTGCTGATATTAATTTATGGAACGAAGATAAGCAGACGAATGATGCTGATAAGGAGGAGGATATGGACAGTGAGGATTATGAGAACGATCCCATTGAAGTCAGAAGTGTAGTGACTGACGCGCAAGCTATACAAGTTTTTAACCAAGCTTTAGGTTGGGCTGAAAGAAAAGAAGTTTCATACACGGATATTTTAGTTCTTCGTAAATTACGGGCGCAGGCATTGGAAGACAATGCTAAGCGCAAATTTACGCAGACAAAAATTGTTAATTATTTTTCTTCTAATTAAAAAAATACTTATCGCTGTTAGAATATTTGTTTATTGTGTTATAAATAGTATGTATTAAACGTTTCTTTTAATAAATCAAATATTATATAAATCACGTTCGCTAATGTAAACATTTCGGTAATGTGAACCACACTTGGATTAAATTAGTTTACATTATCGAGCGTCTGCTGTAATAATAAAGATATATATCTATCTATAATAAAGTATACCTTATTATCATCCATTACTAAGGGTATGGACGGTTTTCTTTCAGCTATGCCGTTTTGTTCAAGCAGTTGACGCAAATGTGACAATTTATAGCTGTTCTCTTGTTGAGCAGGCTCGTTCACGTTATTGTTGCTGAAGTATTTTGACAGTTCCTCATCGTGCTCATTGTTTGTACCTGGAATATATACAAATTTTGAGTGTCCTTATTAAGTGAGTTGTACATACATCCCTACAAATTGGCCATTGTGCACAACGCACAACGAATGAACTTCGCACGTGAGATGGAAGCACTTATCGAGCAGAATGAGAACCTCATTTTGTTTATCAGTGATGAAGCTCACTTTCATCTTAATGGCATGGCAACCAGCAGAATTACCGTTATTGGGCTGGTGAAAATCCGCGACAGTAACATGAAAGACACCCCAAAAGTGATGGTTTGGTGCGTTGTATCCCAAAATGATCACCAGCTTGTTTTCACCTAAATTACGACGACTAAGTCTTCCATTCCGACAGGATGGGGCGACCGCCCTCACAGCCAGAGCAACGATGAACGTTATTCGCGCTCTCTTCCAAGGTCGCCTTATTTTCAAGTTTGGTGATGTTCATTGGCTTCCTCGGTCCGCAGATTTATCCATCTGCGATTTTTTTTCTATGGGGGCACCTCAAGCGCAAGCCTCGAACTCTGGACGAGTTGAAGGAGGCAATTCGCGTGGAAGTCGGACAAGTTGAGAGAACGATGTCTACGCAAACTTTCAAGATCGTCTCCAGCAATCATCTTCGAAAACGGTCACCACATGACTGATGTGATTTTTCACACTTAATTGTGACAAACGCTGTTTCATTGTGAACCAGAATCCGTAAAAAAATTGTTTTTGAGGAGTCGCCTGGCCTCCACGATCCCCTTACCTAAATCCATTAGATTTCTTTGTGTGGGGTTTCTAAAAGAAAAAGTGTACCAGACTCCCGTAACCACAAGAGATATGCTAACAGACAGAATCAGGAATGCATATGATGAAATAAGGCCTTATTTGAATAATGCTATACCACGTTCGATCATTCGTAGATGTGAATTGTGTATTGAACAATTGGGTTGACATTTCGAGCAACTACTTTAGATTTTGTATGTTTGTCCTAACTATCCAATAGCATTTTAGTTGTAAATAATTAATTTAATTTGTTAAAAATAATATTGGAAAATTAAACAAATTAATATTCTGTTTTTTTGTGTTTATTTGGAGTTAGGAATTATTGCTGTGTTTAAAAACACAATCTAAACGATCATCTTAATTACTTGTAATGCCCAAATCGAAAATGTAAAAAAAAATATTATTTTCCCATAAATAATTAAAAATGCATCGAACCTTAAAAATCGAAATATCTCAAAAACGGCTAACTATAACGAAAACTCACAGGAGAGCTTTTTTATGCAGAAAAGTGCGAAGAATCATGTTTTTATTCAAAAAGCAAAAAATTGCACTAAGAAAAAAGTTTCGGTCATTTTATTACACTACAGGTAAAGTAGAGAGCGCCTTCTAGCGGCTACAGTAAAACTATGCCCATGGTTCGTTTTGTCGTACCAAAAACCCTTGTATACCAATTTTCACTGTTATACATCAAATATTGTTCGAAATATTTAAAAAAAACTATTTTAGAAAGTAAATTTAAACACCCTGTATTTCGGAATCCACGCATTTTTCGACCCATGTTTATATAGACTTTATGTATTTATTTTAAAAGTTCTATCGAATCTTAAACTTATGCAACAATAAACTGAAACACCCTGTTTTTCGTATTCAAACTTATTTCATGTTTACATACCGACATAAAAGATGGCGCACCCTGTAGCAGAACATTTACTGGTCGCATATTGGTGTACAACATCAGCTTGCGATTGTCTAGATACGATTTAAAAAACATCAGTTCCTTACCCAAATACTCGTCCATAGCGTCCTTCTCGACATTGCTGACGCTGTTTATCCTCTCCCTGGTCAGCGGAAAATCGGCCACCTCGTCCTCTTCATGGACGGCTTCGTCTCGCCTCTCCTTAATCCTATCTAAGTCGTTTGTAACGTTTGTTTGAGATCGATGTCCCTCGGCCTGCTGAGTTGCCGGCCGCGGGTTGTACGATTGCGCGATATCACATTCGGGTTGCTGGTTGGGCTGCTGTTGCTGTCTCGGTTGGAGCAATTTGTACTTTGCGTGTTGCAGTTTGGCCGCGGCCGCCGCCGCCGCAGCCGCTTGCTGTTTCAATTTGACAGCGGCGGGCGATTGCAGACGCGGAATGGGCACCTTGTGCGTCGGATGGTGGTGGATCACGCCCAAAGGGGGCGCGCTCACGTCCTGGAAGAAATATCACGATTGTTTATTCGTTTCAGATTTATTCAGCATTAGTGCACCCAGTTTTAATGGTTTTATTTTAATAAAAGTTGGTGAATGTATTTATCTTACTGTAAATAACGAGTGAAGACCGTGAAGATCGCCACCTAAGATTATTGGCCTTAAGGGACCGTTTCTCCACTACCAGGTCCATTGCAAATGAATGGTTTGGAGAACGCGGAAGACCTATTGGCATACGAACTGTTTACCGACGAATGAGAAGTTTTGGCTTGTTTTCATACCGGCCACACTGGGTCCTCCCTTTAACTCGAGAACACCGACGTAATCGCCTTGAGTGGTGCAGACAACGGTCACTCTGGGATCAGGAATGGAACAGTATTGTCTTTAGTGACGAGTCTCGATTTTGTTTAGGCATACACGATGGTCGTGCAAGGGTTAGAAGGCGACGTGGTGAAAGGAGGAATCCACAGTTTTTTGTTGAAAGACATGTTCATCACACTGTTGGAGTTATGGTTTGGGGTGCTATAGCTTATGGTTCCAGGTCACATTTAATCTTCATCAGAGGTAACATGAACGCGCAGCGTTATATCCACGAAGTTCTAGAACCCCATCTTTTACCCTATCTTGACACCCTGGCAGATTCAACTTTCCAACAAGATAATGCCCGACCACATGTTGCAAGAGTCACAATAGACTTCTTTCAACATAATGATGTCACATTGTTACCATGGCCACCAAGATCTCCCGACTTATCCCCAATTGAGCACGTGCGGGATATGATGGGTAGGAGATTGCCCAATTTGCAACGTCCTCCTCAGACTCTAGAAGCACTTCTAGAGGAGTTGGTGGTTGCCTGGAATGAGATACCACAGGAGGTCATTGACCACCTGATCAGAAGCATACCTAGGCGCGTTGGAGAATGCGTAGCACATCAAGGTGCATCCACACATTATTAAAGGGCAAAGGGCTTTAAAGCAGTGCAATCATTTTGAAATTTTTATCATTTACTTATTATGCTTCATTAAGTACTTATACAAAATTTTATTAAAATAAAACCATTTAAACTGGGTGTTCGGATTTATGTCACTTAGTATAAATTATGTCCTCAAGACTACATATTTTTATACAAAATTTCACTACTATGAATTCTGGTTTTCCATGAGATCTTTTTTCAATTTTCCTTTGAACATTTTCAAGCTGACACACATCTTGATATCATTACTTAATTTATTAAATTCGTACAATCGCTTTTAAAACACTGACTTGCTCGTTATATTGCTACTGCAGTTGTGTAAATGAAAGTCTATACTTCCTCTAGTAGAATAATTGTGGCACTCATTGTTTAATCCAATAAAATTTTCTAAGTGATTTAGTAGAAGATGATTTTTTAACTTGAATATGAAAATGAAAACCAAGTAGGCTATGAAATTTTTGATATTTAACCATTGTAGTTCTTTCAGCATAAAATTTATTCTAGTATATTTATTTTTATTTAAGATGATTCTCACAGCTATATTTTGTAATATTTGTAATTTTGAAAGTATTTTCATTTGCAGTGAATAAAATAGTCGAACAATGTAACAAATGAGGAAGAATGATAGTGTTGTACACAATTTTTTTAGGATAAACGCTTAGGCTATGCGAAATTCTATAAAAGTAATTCATTTTCTTGGATATTTTTGAAATAATATATTCATAGTGCCCTTTAAATTTTAATTTACTGTCTACGGAAATGCCCAATCAATCAATATCAATTAATAACCTTTATTTCCATACAGATAATATACAGGGTGTTTCAGTTTATTGTTGCATAACTTTAAGATTCGATAGAACTTTTAAAATTAAAAAAATGCGTGGCTTCCGAAATACAGGGTGTTTAAATTTACTTTCTAAAATAGTTTTTTTTTAAAATATTTCGAACAATATTTGATGTATAACAGTGAACATTGGTATACAAGGGTTTTTTGGTACGACAAAACGAACCATGGGCATAGTTTTACTGTAGCCGCTAGAGGGCGCTCTCTACTGTACCTGTAGTGTATTAAAATGACCGAAAAATGTTTCTTAGTGCAATTTTTTGCTTTTTGAATAAAAAAACTGATTCTTCACACTTTTCAACTTAAAAAGGCTCTCTTGTGAAGTTTCGTTATAGTTAGCCGTTTTTGAGATATTTCGATTTTTAAGGTTCGATGCATTTTTAATTATATATGATAAAATAACGTTAAAAAGTCAGTATCTCGATAATTTTTAGAAGTAGGCTGTGCCTGCAAATATTTTTGAAATTGAAAGCAGAATAAGGTTAAACGTCAATTAGTTTTGTTGTCTGTTGAAACAGCCAGGGGACGGAGAACGAAGAATCACATTTTGTCAGTGGATTCTTGATAGAACTGATAATAATAGGGAGTTTTTAAGTAACGTTTTATGGACCGATGAGTCATGCTTCTCTAGACGTGGAGTGGTAAATTTTCATAATCAACATATTTGGTCGCCTAAAAATCCGCATGCAGTTCGGGAAACAAATTTTCAGCATGAATTTAGCGTGAACGTGTGGATTGGTATCTACCGTAATCGACTATTTGGGCCCTACCTTTTGCCTGCAAGGTTAAATGCTGCGACCTTCTTGGAATATTTAAACGCTGAACATGCAAATATGTGGGATGATATTATGTTAGTTTTAAGAAGATTGGACTGGTTCCAGCTTGATGGTTGTCCAGCTCATTATTCGAGAATAATTAGAAACTGGCTGAACGAAAATTATCCAGAAAGATGGATCGGCCGTGGAGGACCAGTCGCCTGGCCTTCACGATCCCCTGACCTAAATCCATTAGATGTCTTTGTGTGGGGATTTCTAAAAGAAAAAGTGTACCAGACTCCCGTAACCACAAGAAATATGCTAGACAGAATCAGGAATGCATGTGATGAAATAAGGCCTTATTTGAATAATGCTATACCACGTTCGATCATTCGTAGATGTGAATTGTGTATTGAACAATTGGGTTTACATTTCGAGCAACTACTTTAGATTTTGTATGTTTGTCCTAACTATCCAATAGCATTTTAGTTCTAAATAATTAATTTAATTTGTTAAAAATAATATTGGAAAATTAAACAAATTAATATTCTGTTTTTTGTGTTTATTTGGAGTTAGGAATTATTGCTGTGTTTAAAAACACAATCTAAATGATCATCTTAATTACTTGTAATGCCCAAATCGAAAATGTAAAAAAAACATTATTTTCCCGTAAATAATTAAAAATGCATCGAAACTTAAAAATCGAAATACATATCTCAAAAACGGCTAACTATAACGAAATCTCACAGGAGAGCTTTTTTATGCAGAAAAGTGCGAATAATCACTTTTTTTATTCAAAAAGCAAACAGTTGCACTAAGAAAAAAATTTCGGTCATTTTAATACACTACAGGTACAGTAGAGAGCGCCCTCTAGCGGCTACGGTAAAACTATGCCCATGGTTCGTTTTGTCGTACCAAAAAACCCTTGTATACCAATGTTCACTGTTATACATCAAATATTGTCCGAAATATTTAAAAAAAAAACTATTTTAAAAAGTAAATTTAAACACCCTGTATTTCAGAAGCCACGCATTTATCGACCCATGTTTATGCATTAATTTTAAAAGTTCTATCGAATCTTAAAGTTATGCAACAATAAACTGAAACACCCTGTATAATTGTATTGGAATTGTCAATTTTTAGTTCGCTACAAACCTTCAACTAATTTCAAATTTCAATGTTCAAAAATTCATCAACACGATAAAAGCACTTGTTTATCAAAAATTGCTTCAACTGGAACTTGAAGTCGTTAATATTTTTGACTGAGGTAATGTGGCATGGTAAATTATTAATAAGAAGCGGACCAATTTTATTAGGTGATCGAAATGCCGCTTTTGATTTGCTGGAGTTTACATATAAATTATTACAAGTCCTTGTATCATAATTCAAATGATTCGATTGACAATTTTTTCATGATTAATTGTAAGATTTAAGGTATTTTGATCTAAAGATTTTCCTATTAGCATATATTTTGTTTTGTTTGTGTTTAGTTTAAGATTATTTACATTTAACCAATTTATTACGTTTTTCATATCATTATTTAACAGCTCTATTGCAGTTTCAATGTCTTTATTTGATATATATGCTATTGTAACATCAGCAAATAGTTGAATTTTGCAGTGTTTTAAAATATCAGGAATATCGTTAATATATAAAATAAAGAGTAATGGACCTAATTTGCTACCCTGTGGCACACCTACCGAAATGTTTTTAATGTTTGATAATGTATTGCCAATTTTAGTTATTTGACTTCTATTGATTAAATAATTTTTTAATAAGTTGAATATTGAACCTTGAAATCCATAGCAATGCAATTCCGTTAACAATTTCTCCCTGTCAATAGTCTCAAATGCTCTCTTGAAATCTGAGAACAATGTTACTGTAAACTTTTTTTCATCCATATTTCGCCTCCATTCTTCTACTACCATCTGAATTGCTGTTTCGGTAGAATACTTTTTTCTGAATCCTGCTTGAAATTTTGTCAATATCTTATTTTCTTCAATATTTTCAATGACTTGTTCATATACCTGTATGATTCCTTCTAAGAGCTTCTCGACTTCTGGCAGTACATTAATTGGCCGCATGTTTGTATATAACTCAGAATTTTGCACTTTTGGAGCAGGAGTGATTGTAGAACATTTTAATTTTGAAGGAAATTCGCCATACACTAAACAGTGATTCACTAACAATAATAACTTCTCTCCAATAATGTTAAAACATTCCTACGATACGATTTCTATTGAATTTCAATCTTGTAATAGCTTTTGAATGATGGCTGATATTGTTTGGAATTGTCTCATAGAAGAATTATAAGTAACTTGCATGTGACATAGATTTGGATCCTCATCTTCGATTGATTCCACTATCTCATTTATACTTTCTATAAAATAAGCATTCATTCGTTCTGCAATCAATATTTTTTGTGTTACTATACCATCTTCGAAGCACATTCTTGATAATTCATTCCTCGTACTGGGTGATACAATATTTTTTAGTGCCTTCCACATCATTTTACTGTTATTTTTATTGCTATCAATTTTGTTTTCATAATATTTTTTCTTTTCATTCCTAAAATTGTTAAACAGTTGTTTCTTGTATTCTTATATTGTATCCAATAATTTTATTCTGAATAAAAAAGAATTCCAGAAAAAATAGTTTCGATAAAAATTAAGGGATTTCCGAATAAAATTTTTTTTGGGTCAAATTTTAGGTTAGACATCATTTAGCTACCAATGCATTTAATCCTTTGAGAAAATTAACCATTTCTGTCGGAAAAGCCCTCTAGCGGTCACATGTGAAACTAACGAGACTTCAAATATTGTAACATTTGTAGCCCAAGAAAAGCTCTTTTCAACTAGCCGAAGTTTGTTAAAATCGGCCCGGCAGCTTCGAAGATGCAGGCTGTTTTTTATGGAAACCTTTGAATACCTCCCACCACTTTACTTTTAGAGATACAGCAAAAATTGTTGAAATTAACCCCGAATCTAAAGATCAATGTTAAGATCTCTAGGTCTCTAAAAGCCTACCTACAATTAGCACTAAAATCCAATCCGTTAATAATCCGGATGGCCTTCTTCTGAAAGCCAAATACATAAGGCAAGTCATTAATGTTCAACAGGAATAATATGGGGTTGTCCAAAACAGACGCAGGAAAGTAAACGCATATGAAAACAAGAAAGATTGATATTCAAATCAAGTTGGGTACTTTATTTTGAAGGTTCATTTATACCATTTATGTATGAAAAATAATATCGCTCAAATGTTCACCACGACTGGATTTACAGACGTCCACGCGATGGTCGAAATTTTCAATGACATTTTGCAACATGATCGGTTCTATGGCATTTATCTCGGCAATGATGTTGTTTTTGAGTTCTTGGAGGGTGGCTGCTTCGTTGACGTAGACTTTGCTTTTCAAATATCCCCATAAAAAGAAGTCCAAGGGAGTCAAATCGCACGATCTTGGTGGCCATGGCACATTTCCTCTGCGCGAAATCACGCGATCACCGAAGAAGGACTGCAATCGATGGATATTGACGTTGGTTGTGTGGCATGTTGCACCGTCTTGTTGGAAATAAACATCGTCCATATCCATTCCTTCAAGTTGCGGCAAAAAATGGTCCTCTATCATCACGTGATATCGCTCAGAATTGACGGTAACGGCGTCCCCGGCCGCATTTTCGAAAAAGTAAGGTCCGATGATGCCTTTTGACCACAATGCACACCACACAGTCACTTTTTGAGGATGCGTCGGCTGCTCTTGATACTCACGGGGATTTTCGTTCGCCCAGATGCGGCAGTTTTGCTTGTTTACCGTCCCATTCAAAGTGAAATGCGCTTCGTCGCTGAACATGATTTTTGATGAAAAATTGGCATCAATTTGGCGGTGTTCAAGGAGCCAATCTGAGAACGTTCGGCGCGAAAAATGGTCGGCCCGACGCAGCTCGTGCGTCAATTGGATCTTGTAGGCGTGTACATTCAAATCCTTGTGGAGAATGCGGAGCAAACTGGTTCTCGAAATGCCCAATTCTTGGGATCGACGCGTTGTTGATTGTTTCGGATCGTCTCTCACACTCTCCTTCACAACAGCAATATTTTCCGGTGTGCGAACGCTCCTTGGCCGGCCAGAGCCTGGCAGATTTGCGACAGAACCTGTTCGAATTTACGCACCAGACGACCGCTGGTTGTTTCGTTTGGGCGGTTGTTGCGACCGAAATGTTCACGAAGCGCGCGAATCGTGTTTTTTACTTTTGCACCATTTTTGTAGTGCTTTTGAATAACTTTAATGCGGTCTTCAATCGAATACGACTCCATAGCGATCAATGGTAAACATTCAACTAACAAAATGACAGAAAACAAAGATGGCGTCTATGTCAAATTGGCATTTACTTTCCTGCGTCCCTATTGGACAACCCTTTATAATACTGAGCCTTGTGGAACTGCGATGGACAGTTCCCTTTCTCGAGACGCATGACATTATTTTTAACATTTTAATTCGATTTGCTATTAAAGTGTGTTCTTTTTTAGTTCTTTTTAAACTGTAATTTATGAACGAATGAGTTGTGATATAACGACTGACCTGCGCGAGAAGTGCATCAGTCGTCCCGGTGAGAGCGGCGGCGGTCGCCGGCCTCTGGAACCCATTGAATTCAGGTAACGTTGGTAGCTGAGTAGTTGCAATAACAGTAGTAGTAGTTGTATTAGCGAACAATGAATCAATCGTCGGCTGTTTATCACAGATAGTAACGGCTACGGATTTAGCGGAGGCGGCGGGACTGCTCGCACCGCTGCTGGCCGTGCTGCATTCGCCGCTGGTCGCGCCTCCCGACTGTTGGTGCGCCGACCCCAGTAAAGGAGACGTGGATGCGGAGGCGGGCGCGGATAGTGCGGCGGTCGGCGTGCCGTGTTGGTGATGGTTGCGGCTTTTTTTCCCGCCCCCGCCACAGCTTGACGTTGACGATGACGGCTTCTGCTCCGATTTGGGCGACTGGAATAATAATGCTCATTTTACTGATGTTTCCAGAATGGACTGAAGAAAACAATGTAGAGTAAATATATCCAAAACAAAGTATACAAGTCCAAGATAATAATAATAAATCGTCTTTATTTAGGGGGCGAAGTTTAGCATAATGCACTTAACCCCAAAAAAGAAAAACTGAAAACAATATACAGGGTGACTTCGAAGTTGAGTCATTTATTTTAACAGTGAGTAGATGTGATCAAAAGAAATGTTCTTTTCCTTTACCATTTTTCTGGTAAAATTAAAGTAACAAAGTTATAGCCCTTCGGAAGTTTGAGTACCGCCCCGGCTCAATAATAATATCATGTGCTCGTGTTTGGCAACAACGGATATAATCCGCCTTATCGGTTCATCGCATCGGAAACAAAAAAGCGAAAGAATTTGGAACGATGTTTTTACAATTATTTTATTCAGTTCAGTTATACATACAGTCAGTGTCAGTCGGTAAGGCGTGTGAATAGTGTCTGTTGCGTGGCTCAAACGAAATAAAAAATGGCACATGTTTATGCGAATCGGTTTCCCAATCGAGTGCAACCAACCCCTCGTGCCTTTGTTAATGTAGTACAACGGGCTCGTGAATCAGGTGACTTAAGACCTCACAGGGGACCTCACGATCAAATACAGGTCCGCACTGAAATACTTGTCGGGAGGATACTTTATAAAACAAGGTAAAAATTTTTTTTTAATTTTTTTTTTTAATTTTTACACACATATTTTGGTTTATCTTCCTTCTACAATCATTATCTAAAAATTAATGACTCAACTTCAAAGTCACCCTGTATAAAAACATTTGATAGGTGTACAGCTAAGTAATACTGACTCTTTTTTTTAATAATGTGCTCAATAATTGATATCATCAATCTAGACATTAAGTAGTAGTAGAAAGATTTATTTAGCACATTTGGCTACATAAACAGAATAATTGTAAACAACTTAGAACTAGTAAATTCAAGCCATATGGTGTATGATTTAAATGCTGGGCAACCTATAATAATTGTAAATTTAACAACTGATTTCTCAATTTTACTTTAAATTTTGTCAAAGTTTTCTGGTCTTTTATCTCCGAGTATAATTTATTATATTCAATCAACCCTTGATGGAATACAGATTTGTAGCATATGTTATACTTTTTGGTCATTAAATGGAAGTCATCTTTATTTCTGGTATTATGTAAATGATGGTCGACATTTGATGATGTTAAATTAGTTAGACTTGATGGAAATATATTATTTTTTACTTTATAAATGAATATCATTACAAGATATTTGATAAAATATTTTACATTGAGCCATTTTAATTTGCTAAGCATTTGCCTAATTGGAGTATATTTATCTTTATTTAGTATTATTCTCATGCACTTATTTTGTAAAATTTGCAGTCTTTCAAAAATGGAGTTATTTGCTAAATATAGAATAGTCGAACAGTACAAGAAATTTGGAAGAATGATGGTATTATAGATACTTTTTCTGCTATATGAACTCAGACATCCAGAAACTCTCGATAAATATCCCACTTTACTACTAATCTTATTTATAACTTTTTCATAATGATTATCAAAAATAAATCGAGAGTCAACAAAAACCCCCAGGTATTTAAAATTTTCTACGAATTCAATATCTTCACCATCAATATTCAGTTGAACATTTGTACATTGTTTTTTTTTTCTGATTAACAAGGCTTTCGTTTTACTTGGATTTAATTTTGAGACAAGCTTCAAGTCTTCATTTATACAAGAGATACCAGACTGAATATTTTTAGTACTTATATAAATCATAGTGTCATCGGCGAAAATCTGAATTTTTTGACTATGGCAGGTAAATCATTTATGTATAAAATAAAAAGAAGTGGTCCCAGGATACTGCCCTGTGGAACACCCAACGTCTTTTCAATTTTTGATGAAATAGTGTCATTAACTTTTGTAACTTGCATCCTTTTAAACAAATAATTTCTAAACCAATCTAAAACACTTCCTGTTATACCATATGCCTTCAATTTACCTAACAAAATATCTCTATCAATCGTTTCAAATGCCCTCTTCAAATCCAAAAATACTGATATGACAACTTCTGCGTCTATGGCTCTTCTCCAATTCTCAGTTACCAACTGGAAAGCTGTTTCTGTGGAATATTTTTTTCGAAAGCCTGCTTGCGCCTCCACTAAAATTTTGTTTTCTTCTATAAACTGCATTAATTGGTCATCCACTATGGACTCTAATAATTTTTCAATGTCTGGTATCACATTTACTGGTCTCATATCGCTGCATCTTTTAGAATGTTTTATTTTGGGAACTGGTGTTATTGTAGAGCATTTCAAATTTTCAGGAAAAGAACTGCTTCTCAGTGAACAATTGATCCAATTTAATACAGGATATCCCAAAATTACGAAACAGTTTTTCAGCACGTTTTTAGTAGTGATTTCGGCACAGTTGTTATTTGATTTTAAACTGTTTACTTTTTTTCTAAGATAATTCAATGATACGCTGTGAAATTTTGAAAGTGTATGCAACATTCCCCCCTGGAAACTGATTTTCATATAGTCAGGTGCAGCATTGGCAGTACCCACAATATCAACAATACTTTCCACAAAATATTCATTTAGTTTGTTTGCAATCACCAAAGAATTTGTTTCGGTACCGTTTTCGAATTGAACTTGATTTACACAATCATGCGGCTTCGAATTGATCAGTATTTTTAAAGTCTTCCACATCTTTACACTGTCGCACTTGTTATTATCGATTTGTTTATCGTAGAATTTCCTTTTTTCTTCTCTAATTACATATACACATTTATTCCTAAGAGTTTTATATACCTCCCAATCATCATTTGATTTTGTGAATATACATTTATTGTACTGTTTGTCTCTCAAATTTTGAGCTGCCTTAATATTCTTGTTATACCAGGGTGTATTTTTTGTCGAGCAAATCATTTTTTTATCAGTTGCAAGATCTAAACAAGTTTTTATATTTCCTATTATGTTTTCATATATTTTTTCCACATTCTCACCAAAATTCCAATAGCAGCCAGCAAGTTCTCGTTCAAGTTTTTCGTACTTAATAGTATTTACGATTTTCTTAATTTTTGTATCAGAAAAATGCCCTACCAAGGGCAGCATTGTCCAACTGTGATCGCTAACTTTAGGTGTATGTACAGCTTTAATCCTTGCACATTCGAAATTTACAATAACAAGATCTAACAAAGTCTCTGATAATGATGTTATTCTGGTACTCTCTTCAATTTTTTGCTTGAACCCATAGTTGTTTATGGTTTCTTTCAATTTTCTTGTTTTCATGCTTTTACCATAATAATTTAAATTAAAATCACCTAAAAGTATTATATTGTTTCTAAAATTCCACATTTCTTCGCATTTTTCTTCAAAAAACGTTAAAAATGTATCCGCATCGCTGTTTGGTGAACGGTAAAAAGTACAAAGATCATAACGTTTCCCAAATAATTTGAACTGTATATGTGCATACCAGTATGCATAGTCTAAAGTGGTACAATCGAATAATGTGATCTGTATTTTGTGGTAAAAATAAATCACTACACCTTAAGTCAGATGAACCGAAAAAATATGTTTTTGTACATAGGGTGTTAGGGAAATAATATTCGTAACTTTAAGAGGTGATTCCTTGCATTATTCTAAGCAAAAAAGTTCATTATAATCTATGTCCGAAAATCCACCGTTTCGGAGCAAAAAAATGCTGAACTTATTTCTCTTTAGTCATGAAATAAATTTTGTACCTTAATAATTTAAATTCATATGCCTAATAGCGTAAAATGTATCAGTACATCTATTTATTTATTAACTGTCTCTAACAAAATAATTGTATTGCTTATTAAAAATACAATTTTCCGAAAAAAAAAACAAACAAAACAAAATCCTTCACACAACTGGCAACGTCGTACTCCGCATGCATATTAGCCACAAAAAATTGCGCCAAAGTATTCAATAATTCAAGGCATATTTTCAACAAAAATATCATACAAACGTAAACAATTCGATGAATTAGTTGCGGTCGTCGTGTGCTCGTATCGCGGTTGCGTTGCAGCGTTGCCGAATATTTGAGAAAATTTAATTATTTACGACTCACTTTCCTCGAAAACGATTGATTTTCGGACATAAGTTATAATGAACGTTTTTGCTTAGAATAATCCAAGGAATCGCCTCTTACAGTTACGAATATTATTTCCCTAACGCCCTGTATAATCAGATGTTTTATAAAGAAATTCTGGGTTTAGTATGGGAATTGGAAGGGCTTCTTACCCAAATCGTATATTTTTTCGCTATATTGAGAGATATATTAGAAAAAATCGGCTATATTCACTAGATCCATTACGAGAAAGATGCGCTCTCATTGGTGGACTATGATCCGGATGAAGAATTTTAATCTCCTGTTAGCAAAATCGAACCTAAAACTGCTCAATTCACATAGTGACTGAAGGCTTTAATCTAAGTTTGAAATACACTTGAGTTTTGATGGTTCTGGTCACTCTTAGGTGCGCCCACTTTAAGTGGGAAATTCGATGACGCTTAATCTAAACTATCTATTTTTTTATACATATAATCGCACAAAAAAGTCTGCTTACCTGCATTTTTCGTTTCCTTTCTTTACCTTCACTTTTTTGCTGCAATTTTCTCTGAAGTTGTATTTGCATTTCTCTGTGCTTACTCCCGCTTTTACCATTATGTTCTCCTTCTATAAGTGATAATAATAAATGACATGTATTTGATCCTTTTTTTCATTTCTTTTATTGAAATGCCATTCCACAAACGTTATGGTAGTCATTATTGAAGTGGGTAATAGGGGGGGTCAAAACAAGACAAAAAGTACATATGACCCATGGTCCAAAAGTCAATAGATTTTTGTCTAAATGGCTTTATAGTTTACAACTTTAAGTGCTTTATATCGACCACAATCTTACTAATTTTTATAATCTATTCTAAAACGTTTTTAAACTGGGTAATTAACAAATAAATGGCATTAAGTTTTTCTAAGTTAAGAAGAAATTTATAGTCAGTAAGTTTCATTAAATTAAATATTTAAAACACACATGACAACAGCGCGTCGGCCTTTCATCACTCTTATCGAATCGGCAAACGATCTCAAACGGTAACAGTTGTTAGTTATTGTTAGGGTACGTCGTCGTGTTTATTTACAATTTATTTACCGCATACCATAGTCCATAGAATCCTACGGGAAAATTTGCTTTATCCCTACCATGTACAACGATTGCAGGCCTTGTTACCAAAAGACTATCCTCGCAGACTAACATTCTGTCAGTGGTTTTTGCACAAGAACATTGAAAATCCGGATTTTTTAAAAAACATTCTAGCGACGGACGTACTTTTACGCAAGACGGGATATTAAATTTCCATAATACTCACACGTGGGCCCAAGAAAATCCTCATGCCATTCGTGAAGGTCATTTCCAACAACGTTTTAAAATAAATATTTGACGATCAGGTAATTGGCCCTTTCGAGTTACCCCCAAAGTTGTCAGGAGAAGGATACCTTAGCTTGCTAGCCAACAACCTACCAGAACTTTTGGAACAGACCCTAGACAACATGCCATTACAAGAGAGACAGAATTTGTGGTTTCTTCATGACGGGGCACCAGCACACATTTTTAGAGGCGTCATTCAGTATTTGAATAAACATTATCCAAATCGCTGGATCGGTCGAAATGCTCCTGATCCACGAAAATGGCCAGCAAGATCTCCTGACCTCAATCCGATGGATTTCTGGTATTGGGGAGAACGTGAAGGGGTGGTTTATGGGGCTGGTGCAATAACAACTGAAGCACAACTTCAACAAATTTTAATCCGTCTGAAATAATAAATGGACAACTTCGAGGACCTAGAGTAAGAAGAAACTGGGTTCGTCGTGTGGAAAGAGTAGGACGACATTTTGAACACCTTTAAATACAAAAAAGTGCAGAGTGGGTTTTAAAAAGAAAAACAATGTCTGTAACAAAATTGTGTTCCCTATTTATAAGCGGATTTTTTTAATACGTTCAATAAACTTTCACACACCAGGTGAAGTGCTGAGACAGTTAGTGGTAAGTCCGTTTTTTTTTAATTGTTTGCATTTTACGAGTACATTATCAAACAATGAAATAATACCTAAGAGCCAAAAATAACAAACACTTTTCTCAAAAAAACGACATTTTGACCCCCATGTTATATGAAACTTTTTGCTTCTCTTAACACCCTCTATCACCCATTTAAATAATGACTATCATAACGTTTACACCCTGTATTTAAATAGACAAGTTTTCTTTTGTCTAATGAGTCCCAGCATAAAAAAGAGAACGGCAGGACTATCACGCCTTACCTTCCATTGTTAAAACGTAACAAGCTTTTATTTCAAAATTCCATCAAATTTAAGGATTCATGATAATATAGTCAGAATCACGAAAGATGACTATTACGTCATACCATAAATTGTACTGAAGTAATCAATGGACGTACGTCGATGATAAAATCGGGATGTCAGGAATAATGACAACAAATTTATATTATGATTTTGAGATGTTAGGTTATCTCACTGATTATTTTTATTTTCATTTTATTTCATGGCTTTGAGTAATAATAATCTTAGTGCGGAGTTTTTGTTTTGAAAAAACAGGTATGACTAGAATACCTTAAGACAGAAACACCAAAGACCAAAGTATTATTCGAAAACAACCTAACCTGCTTTAACATAACCTAACTATTCATCTTTCAAGTATGACCGATCATGCAACATGAAAACATCGCCTATCTTTGTCGGATATATGCAAATTAGCAATACAGTTTGTTTAGACAATAAGATTCTGTTTGTCTCTGTCTAGCATATCTGAAACTTCATTAAAAATATTCATAAATCGCTGTCATTTGTCTTTACTACAGACTAATCGTCATCTTTCGTGATTTCGACTATAATAATGAAACGTCTTTATTTAGCGAAGTTTAGCACAAGCTCCAGTAAAATGTCTATCCATAAAATAAACAATAAAAAAACAATATTTCCAAGCACAAAATTATTTTAAATTTGTTTAAAAATGTGATTTGAACAGAAATTTCACCACTTTTACTTTCAAGTTATATGGTAATGGCTTCAAAATGCCCTGAAATGTCCTTTGTCAGCTCTAGCATATACTGACTATTGCACATATTGAACCAATGTGTAGAGAAGCCACAAGGTGTAGCTTTGATCATGTTTATATAATACCATATTTCGCTGTCCAATCGAAACAACTTGGAAGGCAGATAAATAAAATATAATAAATGTTCACGACTTTTTCAACACGTGTGGTTTCGTTTGGCCTGAGAAATATGAAGGAAAACCAGTTTCAGATGTTACATGTTTATATTACCTTTAGCGGTGCACTCCGCTGCAGTCGCTATGACGTTCGCCGCTTCAGATCCTATTCCAAAAGAAAAGTTCGATAATATGTGGAACGCTAATGATTGTATGGAAGGGAATTCTTGACTCAGCTGCTGTTCCGCCCAACCTTTCACTATACTCCATGCTGCAGATTCTAAATGCGCCTGTGTGAACGGGACTTCCGTTGACTGTAAAAAGGAATTCGGGTTAAAAAAAAAAGGAACACGGTCAACGAAATTTCTTTTAATATTTATCATACCATTGGTTTATCAGCTAAATCAGGAAGAGTCGGAGCTTTCAGTCTAATACATCTCCTCAGTCCAGAGTAGCAATACCTGGAATTACCTCTGGTCCCTAGTCTTCGAGCTCTCACTTTCGGATATACCTGCTTCATTACTTTACCGAAATCAGCTTGAGAAAGCGGCTTAATTGAATTGCTTTCACAATAGTCGCTGAAAACAAATAACATTCCGTCCCATTAAACCAGAACTATACCATCTCAAATAGAAGCGTAGGACATAGGGGCCGTTCAAGTATTACGTGAGCACTATGGGGGGCCGGGGAGTTTCTTTGCTTTGCTTGTTTTGGATGACATGGGGGGTAGGGGAGTCTAGATAATGATTACGCCATCGGTAGTTATTTACTTTTTTACACGAATGGCAACCCTCACATAGTCTTTGCTTGAAAACGAAACGCATTTTCGGGGATTCCCACAAATAATGCATACGTTTAGTGAACAGCGCGCGGTAATTCCCCTACTCGCGTTAGAACCGAAAAGAAGTGCATATAACAGAGTAGGGCGCAGAATGGCTCCTCTTAGTCGGGAACTGACTGGTTTAATATTGCCTCATGACCATTCTGGGTCTCATTTGGATGAACGTATCATTACAATTGATGAACATTTAGAAAGATCTAATTTCGAATTTGCAGGAAATGTATTAGCTGAAGTATGGAGTTCAATGGAAATTGATGGCTATAATGTTAATGCAAAATATGTTGGGGCAGGTGAACAAGATCTTCCTGATTTTCCAGACATTAAATGGTTTTTTTCAAATTATAATTATAACTTTATAATTATAATATTAAAAAAAACAATACATTAATAGACAAATGATTACGTAAGCATGGGGGGAGGGGGTAAGAGCTTTGCTTACTTCTGCTGGGGGGTAAATAATTGTAATAAATCTGCTTACGTAATACTTGAACGGCCCCATATCCCGGAAAAGCTTCTTTTGGAAATTATTTTTTTTTATCTTTTATTACTAATTATGTTAATGTTATTTAGTATTTGTTGTTGTTACATAATTAGCAATATAAAATTATAAAAAAAATAATTTCCAAAATAAACTTTTTCCATATTCCTAGTATGGTCCAGGGATATGCAATTGGACTTTTTTTTCGAAAACTAAGCAAGATACGAAAAAAATTCAAGAGATAAAAAAGTAGTATTTCTATTTGCTTAATCCAAGGAACATAATAAAAATTGCACAAAAGTCAGTGAAGTACATTTTTTTGTCACAAATCTTCGTCCAGATCCCGATAAAAACGCCACTGGCCTTAATAAATTTAATCAAGTTGGGGCTAAATTACCTCCTTAATCGATCAATATTATCGATCACATCATGACCTTACTTTAATGTTAACTCATCTGAATAGCAAGGAGTTCACAAAATAACTTACGAGTATTCATTGTAAACTTCTTGTTTGGGCAATGAAATGTCAGGATCCTCTTCCAGGTGTGTTTTTATCCACGATATGGTTTTGTATATTTCAGAGCGGCTTCCTAAAGGATTCAACGGTTGTCTGAAAGGATCTACGGCATGCGTAACTTCCGATGGCAGCCTCAGAAATAACAGAAATTTCTCTACCGGTGATAATGACTTGATTTGTTCCAGTATATTTTGGATGGTTTGCTTTCCCGTCTCACTGGAAGTAAATGCAGTATATCACTATCGCGCAAACACACAGTAGGGTGTCTCAGAAAATGAAAGTTTACCCTCTGATTTTGCTTCGATTCGAACATTTCGTGAACACACTTCGCTCAATTATATACGGCAGGTAAAATTTAGTCGGTCTCTAATTGAAAACAAAGTAACACGTCAATTTGCTGCAATATGTAAATATGAAAACAAACAGTTAACGCTCGATTTACCATCTTAACTATATGCAAAATATTCATAAACAAAGCAGTCGGCTAAATATTGCATAATTGCATAATACTTTTATTTCATCTCCATAGGTCAATTAGGTGTATGTATAATAATGTTTACAAACATGATATAATTGGTTTTCATAACTCTTTCGAAATCCATACTTTATAGACAATCTAAATGTCAAAATTGGAAAAAAATAACGAGATATAAAAATATAATAAATAATTAGTTATTATTTTGCTATTAGTATACTGTGTATCTCTAATTTATGATTTTACAGCGAAATTCAGATTTTATCCCTAAGGAGATAAGCTGTAATCTCCAATGTTTATCTGAAACCATATATTTCGAATTCTTCCTTCATGTAGTGAATATATCGGTCACAACGGTGATCTTGTTAATACATGACACTTTTGACAATATTTTATTTAGTCAAAAGTGTTATAAGTTTAAAATATTAACAATGAATATTTTGATAATATATAGTAGAACACACCAACTTTATCGCTCCCTAATCAAATTTGCAACATAAAAATAACACATGTTGCAATTACAGCATATCAACCTATTTTCATTTCAATGCAAAATAAGTCTATAACGCATAGGTGGCTGTGAAAAATAAAAGCTATGACAATTGTTTTTATTAATCACAGCTGTCAGAATACATTTAAAATAGTTTTAGGTAGTTAAGGTTTTCAAAATTGGTAGAGGAAAGGTTATTAGTGAAAAAATTCGATTACTGGTGATTAAATTTTTTAATTCTGGGAGATCAAACTCCGAAATTGCAACTTTGTTAGACTCATCGCGGTACAGTGTGAGAAATATTGTTAGAAGATATAACGTAACTGGTTCAGTTAATATTAAGCCACGATATGTGAAAAAAAGTAATATCACAAATGCCGACCAAAGAGCATTAAGATGAATAATCGTGAAAAACAGGTGTTCCAATTATTTACAATTAACTGCTCTGTGGAGTGACTCTATTGGAAGGAGAATTTCGAGGTCCACAACTCATAGAGAGGCCCACAAACTGGGATTTACCACTTGAAAGGTAAGTTTTCTTATAAAAAAAAAAACCCTAAAGTTGCACAACTTGCTTATATTATTAACTCCACTGCAAAAGAAAAATCGGCTTAGATGGGCTAAAGAACATAGACAATGGACACCTCAACAATGGTGTGCAATACAATGGAGTGATGAGGCCCGATTCGAAGTTTGTGTTGGTGACAGACGCAGTAGAGTTATTCGCAAAAAAAATTAAGCATTCCATGTTGACTGTCTGAAGAGAAAAGTGTAATTTCCACCATCCATTATGGTCTGGGGCAGTATGTCATCAAAAGGAGTAGGAAAACTTCATTTTATTGATGGAAATGTGGATACAAACAAATATTTGGCAATTTTAGAATAATTGCTTTTACCAGTTATGGAAGAATGTTTGACATCCGGCCAAGATTTTGTGTTTCAGCAAGATGGTGCAGCACGCCATACCTCAAAAATAAATATAAAATGGATGGAAGAAAATAATGTACCACTTTTGAAATGGGTTTCTAGCAGTCCAGATCTGTCACCTATTGAAACTTTGTGGCACGAGATGAAAAAGGTTCTACAACAACATCTTGCTCGTAGAATCACCGAACTGAGACAAAAGCTTCAAGAAATATGGGACTGTTTTACACCAAATTTTTGCCAAAACTTGGTTAACACTATGCCCCAAAGAATTTCAGCCATAATAAAAAATAAAGGTGATGTTACGCAATGGTAATCTTTCAATTATTGCTTTGTTGACTTCGCGCATTTATCGCACATTGTTTATTTGTTCAGATGTTCCATTAGTTATAGGTCTAAGTGATTTCAAATATGTATTTTTTACGACTAGAGTGTATCTAAAATGTTTTTGAGAAAATAAATTGTTTTAGAAGTGAACAGTTTCGTGATGTTTAGTTTATAAAGGCATATTTTGGTACAAATCTTGAAGTGGTCCAACTGAAGTGGGAAGGAGCTCGTAGACTACAACTTATAAAGTACTTTACATAATATTTCGAATACCTTAATATCCACAACTATTTGTGCAAAGTTAGTATCTTATAAAATCGTGCATTTTCTGTAGCTTACATTAAACTATATGTTCGTTAAATCTAATTATATACTAAAAATAAACTAAGTATACTTATGATTTAATAACCGCAAAAAGAATATATAAACACTACCTAACATGATTAAACTTATACAAAATGTTTATTTAAGCTGCTTACCTAATAATAATCTCTTGCTCTGGCTTTTCTTCAATTTCCTCAGTTTTGATGGAGTGTTCTGCTTCATCTGTGCCGGCGTTCCGGGTGCCACTGTCATTCGGCTCGGTCTCTGTTTGGCCGTTGTTGGACTTTTCTTTCGTCCTTTCCAACCCAGATTGACGGTATTTTCCGGTCCATATTTCGTTTTCCATCGTAGCCAGATACTTGTGAGGGATTTTCTACTTATTTTTAACATAAACGGCACAGTATTTTACCACTTTTGCAGCCCAAACCGTCCGCCAATACCGGAACATTTTATGTCAACTTAAATCAGCTGGTCCCCAATGGAGGATTATCTGGCCTAGGCAATAATTATTGAAAAAAAATCACAATGTGACGTTTCACTTCGTGAGCGTCATATTCATTTTCCGATTTCTGTCAGTTTGGTGGAAAAGCTAACCTCTCCTTATTGGCTCGTACGTCACGAGATACTTTTTTGCAACCAACCATATGCTACAAATGAAATCATGTGTTACGACTCCGTCTGTCAAACATCTGTTAACTCGTGTAAGACAAGCTTAACAAAACTAAGATATAATTCGGGGTAAGACGAATTTCATTATGTGTATGTCCACAAATTGCTGCACCCAGCACTGTTCCCGAATCTTACCAATAATAGAGACAAGCTGCAACCGTTGAAATTGTGCCGTGAGCGCGATAAACGACAATCCACTAGCAAGCTCGTATTTAGATTATAAAAAATTGAAATAAGGAGTATGCTTAGTTAATTTACGTGGATAAAACCAGCATACTTTTCTTTATTATACAGAATAATTAGTAGGAATTTATTTGCCTTTTGAATATTATGTTTTATATAGGAATTCTTTCTCAGGATTTGCTTTTCGATTATTTCTTTAAATTTGTGTTGTGAGTAAACACAGTTTTAACTTCAGTTATATTCTCTCATTTGATAAACTAACGTGCTTCAATACCTTATAGTTCAAGATTGTTCAACAATTGCGTATTTTGATTCTATCATGTTTTAATACAAGAATAAACATTGTTATTATATAGTTATTGTGGGTGTTTTTTAAACACCCTGTATACTAGCACAGATAATGCATAGTAAAAGTATAAATCCTGGAAATATCCGCAAAAATACTGTGATTAGCTGTTGGCAACAGCGCGGCTGATATAACGATCAAAAGTTCCTCGTTCGTGCTGTTTCATTTGACAGGTGACAGTTAACCGTCAAGCGAAGTTTTGGCTTTGTGGTTTTTGTCATGCACGATTACTACGATCGTGCCGTATTTTTCCTTTTTCCTGGTACTTTAATCGTGGTTGAATCGTTGGTGCACTATTTCTCTTGACAAAAATCAATTTACAGCTTATTATGTGCCTCAATCTATCCAAATTGGTGTTATTTTAAATCTTTCGCAGTAATTTACAGTACTTTTTCGCGTGTCTCGGATATTGTCATGAAATTCATGACGGCAACAAGAAGGTCAATCCGTCAGACCTTCCTGTGCTCACCATAAAGATAAATACGACGACAAAAGTAGTCTATTATGAAATGGTTCCTCATTCCGAATAACGTTAGGACAGTATTTTCACAATTATATTTAGAATAATGATGGCGACTCGTTCAACTTCTTCATCACCGCCCCCGAATTGCGCGATATGCTTGGGCAGTTTCTCGAACAAGTGTTTCTCGGACTCCTGTATGCACCAGTTTTGTTTCAAATGTCTACTGGAATGGTCTAAGGTGAGTTATGCCTGTATTATTATACTATGTTATAGAAATTGAGTGGTGATACACCTCATTTTCCATTGTTAACATTGATGTAACTTTGCATCTCATATTTATCTTACTTCAGAGGCAATATATTTTTCAAATTATTTACTATAATCTGCAATATTTAAAGATGATAAAAGTTTGGCAATATAGTAAAAATATGTATAAGTTCTTAGCTGATTTATAAACACCAACTGCATTTAAACATTTATAACAACACTATGTATACAAGTAGATTTTGGCAAAAAAACTGGAAGCTGATCAACTGCCTCCAACATATACAGGTAGATGGTAGTGCTGAGCCAGTTTGGTGAAATATTTTGTGAAATTATACATGAAGTTGGAAAAGTTTACTAGAAATATTTCTTCATTGAGATAAATACATATTTATAGAATTCATAAAAGCAATCTGAGACATCTCCAGGTGAGCAAGAGCTTAGCAGCTGTATTTTATAAACTAGCTGGAATTATTGATTATTTAGTCACCTTGTGATATTACTTGTTATTTGTTTAAATAGTCTGTAACAAAAAATGAAACAAAAAAATATATTTCTTGAAATAATATATTTTTCCAAGTTTTCAAATAAGAGTGTGTTACACCTTTTTTCCATCCTGCTATTTTTTTTTTAATTTTTAGTATTCTTAATGTATTGTAACATTTGAGAGGGAGAAATTGTTAACTAAATTGCATCGCTTTGATTTTAAAGGTTCAGTATTAAACATTTTACAAAATTATTTAGTAAATAGAAAAAACCAAAGTTGGAAATATGATGTCGAGAGTTCAGAATATATCAGTAGGGTTACCACAGGGTAATAAATTAAGACTGTTACAATTTATTATATAATGATAATGTGTTTATTGCTCAACAGTGAATACCACAGAGCAAAAAGCAGTAGTTTAGCTTACCTGGTAGTTACAGCACAAAAAGAAGATATCTTAGAGAAAAAAACAGAGGTAGAAGAAACATAAAAAACTTGACCAAAATCCATCTGAGATGGTCTTCAGATTTATTCTCTAATTCACAGATACACTGCAGTGAAAGATATTATATATATAAATTTCTCAGCATGATCATTTTCTCTTTGTAGATCCTTTGGGCTTGAAGTACCACAGCAAGTAGCTATAACCAGCCATATGGTTGTGGTTAGATGTCTCCTTGAAAATTTGAGGGCTTCTGGCCATTTTATACTACAATGTGTAGGTTGGCTTTTGTTGTGGACTTATGGGTGATTTTTCCCCTCCATCTTCTTTTCCTCAGGTTACACCCATATCCGGATGTATGAGCATGTGTATCTACTTTTGTAGTTACATATGTGCATACATTTCGGACCTGATGAAGCCAACCAGCAGAAATATGTATCGCTCGGGTTACCTATCCTTTTTTCTGCTCAAATACACTTTCCTTCTTTTGGCGGATTTTGTCCATTATTTTCCTATATTTTGTTATATACCTTTCTCGGCATGATCATTTTCTCTCTCTCTCTCTATATATATATATATATATATATATATGTATATATTAGGGATGTTCAGTATTATTTGATATTTTGTCTCACCTGATAAATGGATAAATGTATCCGAGCCAGTCTGCTCGCCCTTATCTTAATGGTGTTAATAAAAACATTGGATGCCTGACCATCAGTTTTTATTTGGTTTTTGCAGCGGTCGATCATGTACGTTCTGAATTGTTTGTGTGCAAGAAAAGTAGTGTTTTGAGTGATAATTAGTTTAATTTCGACCCCAAGTTAACATATATATATATATAAAATATATTACATTATATATATGGCACATAAACATTTGGACACTGCTTTAAAACTGTTAAATAGTAATATTAAAAAAATTATGAATTGTTTAAATGTTAATACTTGAACTGAAATTAAACAATAATAAAACAAAATGTAAGTCAATAGGGAAACATTTAGGTGACAAAACAATTAGGCGCATGATTAATGATGAAAACATTGAGGTATTTGAATCATTTAAATACAGGGTGTCCGCAAAGTTGGGGTTTTCCTTTACACGACGTGTAGATCTTGAAAACTTAAGCAATTTTTCTTAGTACCATATACACCAATGTCTTAAGGGAACCGAGATAAAGGGCTCTGCAACATCAAAAATATCTGAATACCGTCCTGTAGCCGCGACTCGCGACATCCCCGACTGGTACTAGGACACTAGCTCAACCCGACGACAGAACTGGGTCGAGGGTCGGGGTCAGTGTGTCAGGTCAGTATGCAACCTTCAACCGACGGTTACGGTCACGCGTGTAGAGGTAAACGAACCCGTTTAATCGATTGCGTTTCAAAAAACAACAAACACTAGAGACGTGGCTAGAGAAGTGCAAGTATCAAAAACTAAAGTGTTTCGCAAACGTTGCGTGAAGAGGGCTGTATCCGTTTCACGTCCAACGTGTACAAGCCCTTCAACCTGACGACTTTCCAGCAAGAGTGCGGTTTTGTGAGTGGTTGTTGCATCAACATGACAATAATTCGGACTTTTTGAAGTGCATATTGGTGACAGACGAATCTACGTTCACGCGTAATGGGGTGAATAACTTTCGCAACACTCATGTTTGGTCAGTAGAAAATCCGCACGCTGTCCGTCGGGCACATTTTCAACAAACATTTTCGGTGAATGGGCTGGCATGGTGAACGGTATGCTCATTGGACCATTTATTCTCCCAAATCGATTGGACGGGATGCAATACCTAGACTTTTTACGCAACATTTTGCCTTCTTTGTTAGAAGATGTGCCATTAAGTGTAAAACATTCAATGTGGTTTCTGCACGATGGTCATATTTGTTACCTCTGTTCGTGGTCTACTGGTCTGCACCACCGCCGGCGTCTGCTCGGTAGCGCATCAGCTGATTTCATTTTCTGTTGGAGCGGTATGATTTCGGGCAGAGACGTACTTAGCCCTTCTCGTCAACTGGAGAGTGAGTACTTGTTTCTTTATTTTTTTTTACTTGGTCGCCCTCGTTTCACTACACATTACCTTTGTTATTTCAAGGGTAGTTGTTTCTGAAAAGGAAAACGCCAACTTTGCGGACACCCTGTATATGTGAAACTACTGTTTCACAAGTGTTATGAAAAATTTCAAAAAAGATAAATTTCTATAGAGTATCCCATAAGTTTGGTGTGTATTCCAAAAAAAAAATTGTATAACACTATAATTTTCCTGCATTTTGTAATAGTAACATAACTAGTAAATCTGTATTTCAAAATGGAGTATTTAAGTTGAATAAATTAAATAATCACATTATGAATACTCAAAATGCATAGTGATGTTATTTTAATAGACAAGAATGTAAAATTACAGAAAATGGATTAAAAAAAATGTGGAAATACAAAATTGACATTGTAGCATTAACGCTAAATAAATCTTCAACAAACAAATAACTACTTTGGTAATTGCTATATATAATTTTCATATATTTTATTAACAAGACTCCATAAAACATCTTACTTTATTTGTATTATAAAATCTCAACAGATTTATATCCTATCACCATAAATAGATATTTTGTTGTGATCTCAATATGGAATTAAGAATGATGTTATTTGCTTATTTTCTATCTCTCATTAAGACATTAAATTTGATACCCATATTGTAGCAGTGACTATGGAAATTATAAATCGCTACGTCTCCTTGCTTATTGTGTTTCTTTCATCAAGTCCTTTGATTTGATACCCATATTTTCTAGCATTCACCATATTGAATAGAAAAAAAATCAATAACTCCCCTGCTCTTTTTCATTGCAGAGGTAAATAGAAAATTGTCAGATTCTTACTGGTTTTGTTGCAATAACTTTTAAAATTATTTGCCCGATTTTGGTGTTCAAAAATTAAATCTGTGATTGTATCAGGGCTCAAAAAGGTGACCCAGGTTTATTACCCAGCAATGAAATAACTTGATTAAAAATAAAAAAATATTTTTAACCCTATTTTTCGCAAATAAAAAACTGACGCGGATCATTTTTTCTTAGCTCCTCCCATATTCTCGTTCAGTAACCCTCTTTACACGTTTCAACCAAATAACTTGCCCTCTTACAATTTCCACCAGAACTTTTGATTTTAGCTAGGTTACTGTTGCCATTTACGTTTTAAAATGAAATTTGAGTTGTGTGAGATTAAGGTAAAATGCTGAATTTGTATCATTAATTGCAGATCAAAGCCGAATGTCCGCTGTGTAAGCAACCCTTCAAAAGGATCATCCATAATGTCAAAAGTAATGAAGAGTATGATGAACATGTCGTAGAAATTAGTCGTCCAGAAATTGGTCCAGATGAAATACACATTATCGATACTGAAGACCTACTTTATTTACCACAGCCTTCTACTAGACATCACTTCCATTTTAGGTAAGCATTTGATATACGTAACGTCAGTCTATATAATGGGTGATTTTTTTGCTAGTATCTCTTTGGCAACACTGTTTTTGACAGATGACGCGTGAATCGTGTATTGTCTCATTGTCAAACTTGTTCAGTTTGGTCTATAATTTAACCATGAATCGAGTTACGAACGAACAACGCTTGAAAATTATTGAATTTTACTATCAAAATTCATGGTCGGTTAAGAGAGTGCATCGAGCACTGCTTCCAATTTATGGGCAATTTGGTCGGCCTACTGAGGGAGCTATTCGGAAGCTTGTGACTAAATTTCGAACCCAGTTTACATTATTGGACATTGAACCACCAACAGGCAGACGTAGAGTGAGGACTGAAGAAAATATTGCGGCTGTATCCGCCAGTGTTAGTGATGACCGTGACATGTCGATTCGCCGCCGTTCGCAGCAATTGGGCCTCTGTTACTCCACTACGTGGAAAATTTTGCGACAGGATTTGGGTGTAAAACCTTATAAGATACAGCTGGTGTAAGAATTGAAGCCACACGACCTCCCACAACGTTTCCAATTTGGTGAATGGGCGCTGGCAAAGTTGGAGGAAGATCCACATTTTTATCGAAAAATTGAGTTCAGCGACGAAGAGCATTTCTGGTTGAATAAGTACGTTAACAAGCAAAATTGCCGCATCTGGAGTGAAGACCAGCCAGAAGCATTGCAAGAGCTACCAATGCATCCCGAAAAAATCACTGTTTGGTGTGGATTATGGGCCGGAACGTAACTGTGAATGGCGAGCGCTACCGTGCGATGACAACAAACTTTTTTTTGTCCAAATGGAAGAGCTGGACTTGGCTGACATGTGGTTTCAACAAGACTGCCACATGCCACACCGTACTCGAGACAATAGCCCTATTGAGCGGCGAGTTCGGTGAACAGTTTATCTCACGTTTGGGGCCCGTCAATTGGCCGCCTAGATCGTGTGATTTAACGCCGTTGGACTATTTCTTGGGGGCCATGTTAAGGCTGATGTCTACAGGGATAAACCAGCAACGATTGACGTACTGGAAGCCAATATTGAAGCATTTATTCGTGAGATACCGGCCGATATGTTGGAGAGAGTGTGCCAAAATTGGACCTGGCGCATGGGCCATCTAAAGCGGAACCGCGGCCAACATTTACATGAAATAATCTTTAAACATTAAATTATATCGACCTTTCTATCGACTCAAATAAAGATTTAATCGTTTTTTCAAATTTTTTGTGTTTTTTTTTGAAAATCAATTCCTATACCTCTTAAAAAATCACCCGTTAGTTTGTCAAACTGAATGTTATCATAATAATGTAAAATGCATCATCCAAGGAAAAAATCTTCAATACTGACATTCTATGAGATAGGATGTAATGAATTTTTTCACGAAATTCAGTACCAAATTATGAACAATTTTTCCCCTGTAACCCAACTATTCGTGGAGTAATTTTTCCTATCACTATTATATACAGCAATGCTTTTTTTCAGAACTACATTCACTGTCGATACTCGCGGTGAACATGCTATCCAACAAATGCTCCTACATCATCCCCTTACAAGTGGGGGACAAATCTCTGTTGAAGGATTCATTCCATCTAGGTGACTATTATTTACTCTAGCTGTTAATGACTAACATTTAGTGTAGGTAGTAAATTCGCATCGCAAAAAATTTCGAAATTGAGATATGTTTTTTGTATGTTATGAATGACCATGCCACTCATTTCCGTCGATCTGTTTTTGAAAATCGGTTCAGTGGCGGCGGAGGTATGGGCGGAAACAGGGAAAAAATAATAATCGCTCAAACATCGTTTTTTGACGTTTCAGAGACTCATTTTCGGAATTTTTTTGTAGAGGTTGAAACTTGGAGGGTTGTAGTTGTTGTGAATGTTACGTCTTTAGTATTAGCCGAAAACGTTCTATTATTAAGAAGACGTCTGTAAACCCACTTTTTAAAAATGCTTTGCTAAATAGGCGTTCAGGCTAGGATTGAGATAATTCGTGTCTTGACCACATAATCTAAATACAGTGCAACCCGCTTATAATGAACTCGGCGGGACTGAGACAAATAGTCTATTATAAACGGATGACCATATTAAAAGCTTAAAATGTGTTTGTTTAACATGTATTACATAAATATATAGTACATACAAAAAAGTTATACGTAATTTTGAAATTTGCATTTTTTCGGAATCTGATACACATTTTACAGACATGCGTACTGCGTAGGTATTTGTAAAACCCGTAAATTATTTGGTAAAAAAGCTAGTAATTTTCATTTGAACAGATTGTTTTTTGGATAATTATTTAGAGCACGTTGAATCTTATTTATACTAAGTGACATATAAATCCGAACACCCAGTTTAAATGGTTTTATTTTAATAAAATTTTGTATAAGTACTTCATGAAGCATAATAAGTAAATGATAAAAATTTCAAAATAATTGCACTGCTTTAAAGCCCTTTGACCTTTAATAATGTGTGGATGCACCCTGATGTGCTACGCATTCTCCAACGCGCCTAGGCATGCTTCTGATAAGGTGGTCAATGTCCTCCTGTGGTATCTCATTCCAGGCAACCACCAACTCCTCTCGAAGTGCTTCTAGAGTCTGAGGAGGACGTTGCAAATTGAGCAATCTCCTACCCATCATATCCCACACGTGCTCAATTGGGGATAAGTCGGGAGATCTTGGTGGCCATGGTAACAATGTGACATCATTATGTTGAAAGAAGTCTATTGTGACTCTTGCAACATGTGGTCGGGCATTATCTTGTTAGAAAGTTGGATCTGCCAGGGTGTCAAGATAGGGTAAAAGATGGGGTTCTAGAACTTCGTGGATATAACGCTGCGCGTTCATGTTACCTCTGATGAAGATTAAAGGTGACCTGGAACCATAAGCTATAGCAACCCAAACCATAACTCCAACAGTGTGATGAACATGTCTTTCAACAAAAAACTGTGGATTCCTCCTTTCACCACGTCGCCTTCTAACCCTGGCACGACCATCGTGTATGCCTAAACAAAATCGAGACTCGTCACTAAAGACAATACTGTTCCATTCCTGATTCCAGAGTGACCGTTGTCTGCACCACTAAAGGCGATTACGTCGGTGTTCTCGACTTAAAGGGAGGACCCAGTGTGGCCGGTATGAAAACAAGCCAAAACTTCTCATTCGTCGGTAAACACTTCGCATGCCAATAGGTCTTCCGTGTTCTGCAAACCATTGATTTGCAATGGACCTGGTAGTGGAGAAACGGTCCCTTAAGGCCAATAATCTTAGGCGGCGATCTTCACGGTCTGTTGTTCTACGGCGGCGTCCAGTGCCCCTTGCTCTTTACGTACGGCCTTCTCGAAGCCATGCCTGACAACACCTAACCACAGTGTCTACACTTCTTTGCACTCTAACTGCAATTGCCCGAAAAGAAAGTCCAGCTTCCCGAAGTCCCACTATACGGCCCCTATCAAACTCACTAAGTTGACGAAATCGTACAGGTCTCCGTACTCTAGGCATCGTAACCGATCGTAAAGGATGTCAAGAACCAAAATCCGCCAACGTTGATTCTTTACTGCGGCTGAAATATTCATTTTTAGAGCGTTAGTGAATTAGAAAAAAGCAGTATAAAAACCGGAATGTCCAACAGATTAGGCTGAAAATTTGTTCACTTGATATTTACAGTAAGATAAATACATTCACCAACTTTTATTAAAATAAAACCATTTAAACTGGGTGTTCGGATTTATATGTCACTTAGTGTAATTTGTAACTGTCTTCTTCTTGCCGTTGCATTTTTTTCACGCAGTCTGATGTTTCCTTAGTTGTCACTGGAAGCTCTTCTTCATCGTTGTTTTCTAGTTCGTCTTCCTGTTCGTTAGCAACGGATCCTTCATTAACCTAATTGGAGTCTGACAATTCCTGTGTTGCTATTAAATTTACATACTCATTAAATTTGTCTATATTCAGTAAATTATTAATTTTCAGTAAATCACTTAATGGAATTTCATCTTCTGGATTAAAATCGTTGACTATTTCATTTATGTTTTGCACTAAACCAGCATGGCGAAAACAATTACGAATCGTTTCTAGAGTAACCAGTTCCCATGCAATAGTAAGCAGTTTTATATTATCTACAATTGTGACAGCTTTGGTAATGTTGACATCTTGAAGCTCCATAATTTTCATCAACATATGTTTCCGATGCATTTATTTATAACTCCAAATGACACCCTGGTCCATTGGTTGCAGAACTGGTGTCACATTAGGTGGAACAAATTGAAGGTTGATGTTATTAAATTTTACGATTTTTCTTAACAAGTTCAGCGTCCCACTTATTTAAATATTCTTCAAAAATTGGTGAAGTCATCCAAGCTTTATTATTTCCAACATAACCGACGGGAATTGTTTTAACATTTTTGAAACAACTGAAATTCTTAAATTTCCCTGAAATAAAAAAAAGGTCATACATTCTTTGCAGCACTGCCATTGAAAATCAAAAAAATTAGAACATGAGTTTCTATTCATTCACTTACCTATTACCAATAGTTTCCGTTTTTCAGTACCAGAAGCATTAGCACAAATCATAAGTTACTCGTTCTTTTGATAGTTTTCCGCCATTGCAAGTTTCACCTTTTAATTTATGAGTTTCATGTGGTAGCATTCTATATCTATTCTATATATGATATCCCGGTTTCATCTGCATTGAATATTTTATCATCTGAATAATCACTGGATATTACGGGCCAAACTTGAGAAATCCAGTCATTGGTAACGTTCTGACAAACCTGACTCACCACACATTTTTACAAAAACAATGTTATGTCTTTTCTTAACCCTGTCTAGCCAACCGGAACTACGAGCCCCTTCCCACTTCAGTTGGCCCACTTCAAGATTTGTACCAAAATATGCCTTTATAAACTAAACATGACGAAACTATTTACTTCTAAAACAATTTATTTTCTCAAAAACATTTTAGGTACACTCTAGTCGTAAAAAATACATATTTGAAATCACTTAGACCTGTAACTAATAGAACATCTGAACAAATAAACAATGTGCGAATAAATGCGCGAAGTTAACAAAGCAACAATTGAAAGATTACCATTGGGTAACATCACCTTTATTTTTTATTACGGCTGAAATTCTTTGTGCCATAGTGTTAACTAAGTTTTGGCAAAAATTTGGTGTAAAACAATCCCATATTTCTTGAAGCTTTTGTCTCAGTTCGGTGATTGTACGAGCAGGATGTTGTCCTAGAATCTTTTTCATCTCGCGCCACAAAGTTTCAATAGGTGACAGATCTGGACTGGTAGAAACCCATTTCAAAAGTGGTACATTATTTTCTTCCATCCGTTTTATAGCCTTTTTTGAGGTATGGCACGCTGCACTATCTTGCTGAAACACAAAATCTTGGCCGGATGTCAAACATTTTTCCATCACAGGTAAAAGCGATTCTTCTTGTTGAGGTGTCCATTGTCTATGTTCTTTAGCCCATCTAAGCCGATTTTTCTTTTGCAGTGGAGTTAATAGTGGCTTTTCTTTGGCCCATAAACAAGTTGTGCAACTTTAGGGTTTTCACTTCACTTTTTTTATAAGAAAACTTACCTTGCAAGTGCTAAATCCCAGTTTGTGGGCCTCTCTATGAGTTGTGGACCTCGAAATTCTCCTTCCAACAGCGTCACTCCGCAGAGCACTTAATTGTAAATAATTGGCATGCCTGTTTTCCACGATTATTCTTCTTAATGCTCTTCGGTCGGCATTTGTGATATTACTTTTTTTCACATATCGTGGCTTAATATTAACTGAACCAGTTACGTTATATCTTCTAACAATATATCTCGCACTGTACCGCGATAAGTCTAACAAAGTTGCAATTTCTGAGTTTGATTTCCAAGAATTAATAAATTTAATTACCAGTAACCGAATTTTCTCACTAATAACCTTTCCTCTACTCATTTTGAAAACCTTAACTACCCAAAACTATTTTAAACGTATTCTGACAGCTGTGATTAATAAAAACAATTGTCATGGTCATGGTGTCAATAGTTGGGCCAACTGAAGTGGGAAGGGGCTCGTACGTTTGAAGTAATCTCCAATTAATTTTCCAAATTCTTCAGCCTTTATTTTTAGCATAGGTCCGCTTAGTGGAAAATTATTAGCACGCTTTTGTTGAAACCATTTAAACAGCATATCATCGACTTGGGGTTGTAGCGATAGCCTCATTTTTTCTTTTGACTATTTGATTTTCAGTCATTTATTTATTTTGTCACGGTTTTTGACACAGTGAATTTTTCTATAGCCATACGAGTACATATATTTGCTTAAGATGAACCCTGCTCAAGCTCACTTATTATTGTGAACTTTTCGTGTAAAGTGAATGCACGTTTCGCACTTTTCGGCGTGTTTATAACTCTAATAAATACAGTGGCCAAGTTCGAATGCAAACTGCAAAGAAAAACCGCCGTAACAGATTGCATCAACTAAATCTGCTTAGGGGGAACTACCAAAATACCTCGCATATAATGGATTAAAATAGTCCTCTATAAGCGAGGGTCTATTTTAAGCGCGTCTATAATATCCGAGGATTTTACATGCAATTATTTATAGG